CAATAGGTTTATTCCATGCTGAAAAGAGAAGAGAGGAAATGCAACGTTGCAGCTGTGAAGCCTTCTTCAGGTGCGAGAAAAACAGAGCAGACAGCGAAGATTAAATAGCACAGGAGAACAAAAGCTGGAAAAGTGGAGGAGGAGGGAGAGGGGAGAGGCAGAGAGGCCACTCAGGAAGTGCAAAGTGGAGAGGGGTGAAGAAAGGTGTGAAATCCAAACCTGCATGAGAATAGATTACATGAAAATAGGTCTGTGATTGAGAGAAGGGGGAAGATGTGAACCTAGTTTCAGGATGAGTTTCGTTTCTGTTGTCTTTCTGCTGTGGGAGTTGAGAAACCCTTCTTTGAGAACAGAGACAGAGAGATCAGTGTCATTTCACTGTCTGAGGTGAAATGAGAAACTATGGGCTTGGAGAAATCTTGAATCTTCACAGCCCTAACATGTTCTCTGAAGCAGTCTCCTAGTAACCTTCTGGTTTCCTCAACGTAGATAGCTGGGGATTTTTTGCAAGAGAAAATGAGGTTGCTGTAGGTACAGGATGTTGTCTGGGTGATCTGGAATTGACCTGAGGGGCCCTGAATGAGCGTGTTGTTAGATATGTATTTGCAGGTGATGCAGCGAGTTCATTTGCAGGGGAAGGTGCCTGGTGGGGATGATTACCGAGTGTGGTCAAGGGAGCTGTGAACAAGAAGTTTACGTTTGGTCGGCTTGGTTGGTCGGCGGTAAGAGATGATCGGGCGGTCAGAATAAAGGGTACCGATGGAAGGATTGCCCTGTAAAATGGAGTAGTTGTTAATAATGGTCCTGGGGATAGAAAGTGTGTTAGAGTGATAGGGAAGCACCAAAGGAATGCAGTTGTGAGACTGGGAGTTTCTAATTGAGTTGATAATCCGTGGGCTGTTTTTGGCCTACCCATAACATGGGTGGGGTATCCCCTGATGATGAAAAAAGAGACATTTTGAGTGCTTGGCTCTGGAAATCCATGTCATCACTGCAGAGTCGACGTAGCCTGAGGAACTGTGAAAAAGGGAGTGAGTTTTTGGTGTGAGTGTGGTGAAAAGAGCTGTACAGGAGATAGCTTTGTGAATCTGTGGGTTTGTAATCGAGGTAGAGAGTCATGGATGGTTAATAGATAAATGTATGCCTAGAAACGGAAAAGTGGTAGAAGATATGTTAACTGTATATTTGAGGGATGGGTGAGAGTTAGTGAATTGATGCAGGGGGTGCTCTAGCTGGTCATTAGAGCATGTAGCAACACAGACGCAGTCATCGATGTATCGCTTGTAGAGGTCAGGGACAAAGCCAATGTAGGAATCAAAGAATATAATAATAATTGCTTACACTTATATAGCGCTTTTCTGGACACTCCACTCAAAGTGCTTTACAGGTAATGGGGACCCCCCTCCACCACTAACAATGTGCAGCATCCACCTGGAAGATGTGACAACAGCCATAGTGCGCCAGAATGCTCACAACACATCAGCTATCAGTGGGGAGAACAAAGTAATGAAGCCAATTCATAGATGGGGATTATTAGGAGGCCATAATTGGTAAGGGCCAATGGGAAATTTGGCCAGGACGCAGGGGTTACACCCCTACTGTTTTCGAGAAACGCCCTGGTATTGTTATTGACCACAGAGAGTCAGGACCTTGGTTTTACATCTCATCCGAAGGACAGCGCCTGTTTACAGTATACTGTCCCCGTCACTATACTGGGGCATTAGGACCCACATGGACCGCAGGGTGAGCACCCCTGCTGGCCCCAGTAACACCTCTTCCAGCAGCAACCTTAGTTTTTCCCAGAAGGTCTCTCATCTGGGTACTGACCAGATTCACATCTGCTTAGTTTCAGTGGGTTGCCAGTTGTGCTTTGCAGAGTGATATGGCTGCTAGCTCTAGCTAGATAGTTGCTTCCTCTAAAAGAAACGTTCTACCCAGCAGACAAAAATTTTGGCATAGCTAGGTCCCATCCTCGTGCCCATGGCGACTCCACTAACCTGCTGATAAAAAATGTTATTAAATGAGAAGGCACTGAGTGTGAGAACCGATTCCGCAAGATGCACTAGAGTGTGCGTTTGTCTAGCATGTGCTTGAGGGCTCTAAGACCGTCATGGTGGGGAATGACGATGTAGAGAGATGTGATGTCCATGGTAAAAATGTAACATTCTGGACCCTGAAATTAGAAATCATTGAAAAGTTGGAGGGCATGGTTAGTATCCTTGATATATGAGGGAAGCATTTCATCCAGCGGTCTCATAAGGCTGACGAGAAAAGTAGTTTTATGATGGTGCTGTCTCGGTAACTCTAATCTTTCCTTGAGAGGAAGATTCCTCATGACCTTGAGGAGTCACAGGGAGGACAGACCCTGTACGATGTACTAAGTGTTATGATAAGAGTAACCGTAACTTGTTTCTTTGCAGCCTAAGCATGCTGACCCAGCTACCTACTTGAACTACTTCAGCCTACTTCTGCTGTGATCCACTATGCCTTTCCAGATCTCATCCCAATTCCTTCTCCACCTCCCTTGGCTACTTGCCCCCTTCTCTCGCCAAACCTGCAATCCGTCCCTTCACAGCGATCTGTTCCAAGACCAGACTTTCTAACTGCCTCCTATTCCACTATAGATGTTGTAGTTATAGTATCATTCCTAAAGGATGACACCCAAAGAAGGCTCCACAGCAGAAAAAAGTTGTTTCCTTTCTTCTCTTTTCAACATGGAATAAACCCAGACCTGTTCCTGAGTGTTATGATGCGGTGCTGAGAGGGGAGAGCTGGGGATGTTCTGGCAGGCAGACAGAAGACGGGAGAACAGAGAAGGGGCAGTGGAGCGGGGCAGAACAGGGATGCTGCACAGTCCCACAGGTCTGATTGGCTGCAGTGGAGGTGGAGCAGCAATGAGGCAGACAGGGATCTCAGTCTTGACTGAGTCAGACTGATTCTGGCAGATTATTTTTCCCACTGACAGGCTGGTTATTGCAAGGAGCTCTCCCCTAAACCAACAGGAAGCTCAATGACAGAGCACCTGACCATGGACAGCGCAGGGTTCATATATCCTGGACCAGATGAGATCATTACCCGTTACAGGCAGCCACCCTGACTGAGCACTCATGGCGCCAGAGAGTGTCTGACTCTGCCCGCGACTGTGACCGGTTGCTGTGGGGACAGAGTCTGCCAGGGTGTAACACTAAGCACATAATTGTCTTTTTTTTCCCATTTTTGAAATTCACTATACTTTTTTGAAAAATCACCGCCTACTGTATGAATTCACCAGAAAATTCACAAGAACTGTTTTGTATATGATAAAGGTCAGACAGTTTCCGTTTCTGGTTTTAAAGGGGAACTGCGGTCCCAGTTTCTCAGACAGCTTATTAAATCTCAGTCACAAAATAAATTAATCGCCAGTATAGAAAAAAAATGTACAAATTCCAAGTTAAGCACTTTCATTGTGGTTTGAAATGCACTCATCAGTGTTACAGATTCGGTAAGTGAAACCGAAACCAAGTAATGAACCCACTTGCAGGAGCTGATAAAGCCTAGCGGTGATCCAAAGAAAACAGTAGTTGAAAGAACGAGCCAAGAGACCAAGGGAAGCCAGAGATCCAAACAGGGAGTGAGTACTGAAGCCAAGCCGTAATCCGAAAAACCTTCAGGAAGAAGGCGTAGCGCAACTTAGAAGCTCGAAAGGAAAACCAATACTGAGTGAGGAGGTAGGAAAAGACTAGTGCTTAAATAGAAGATGAGACGGAGGTGTGGTGGTGAATAAGTACACTGATAGGTGGACTGATGAACTAAGACTACGCCTTCTTCTGCCTCTTCTGTTGCCAGGAGGCAGGGATTGTAACAATCAGAGCTGATTCTTTCTAACCCCGAAAAATAAAAATAGTGTTGCAGTTCCCCTTTAACTAATTACTATGAAGTATGTTCAGGATGAGAAATGCTTAACATTTATAACATCAGTTAATAAAACTGTCACAAATTACATTCCAAAGACCAGGGAAGGTATAGGTATTAGCTACCAGCAATAATTAATAACAACTCAAAATACAAAATATTTGCTTTAACATATAACATCCATGCTGCTGGCCTTAGAACAAGATGACCTGTCAGAGGTCCTCTGCTCACACTTCCTAGACATCACACCTGACCTGTTTGGGCCAGAGAGAGGCTGCGATGGACTCGTCAGCAGTGGCATCAGGTCTTCTTCACAGATGAGTCACTCTTCAGCCTGTTCCAAGCAGACAGGAGAGCCAGAGTGTGGAGGAGGAGCTGTGTTTGTGTTTCTTTTTTCCATCACTATATGTTTCTGCATTTGTTTGTTGTATTTATATCACCTCAGTTTCACACAGATATCCTAAATTCCCTCAAATTGTCAAATTGAGTCAAATTGTTATGAAGCATCTTTTCAGGACCCTATGCAGACAGCAGAATCCGGAAGGGAGTGAACAGACACGGGGAGGAGACGAGGAACTGGGCTGGTAGACGAACAGGAGGGTGTGACGAAGGTGCGCAGGTGCTCAGGCAGGCGTGGTCCAGGCAAACAAGTCCGAAGGGTGTTCATTAGGAAATCCATGTTGAGGCAAAAGTCCAGAGCCGGGTGATCCAATTCAAGAGACATGACAAAGTTAAAAACCGGAGCAGGATCCGGCGAGGGGTCGGGGAGATAAAAAAGGGGGAACGGGGCCAGGCACTCCAGGTCCCGGACTCGGCTGGGTCAGGACGCCGATAGGAGACCTATGCCCTCAGAGCCGCGGACGGAGGGCGACTTGGTGGTAGGCGGGCCTCCAGGTCTCAGTGTTCAGATGCAGCCCGGAACAGGGTGAGTGTCTGGCTTTTGTAGGGAGGCTGGAACAGGGAGCAGGTGCAGAAAAGTATTGCAAAAAAAGAGCAACCTGCAAACCAACTAAAATACACTCATATTCAATTACAAGGTGTGCAAAACGTGTTCTATCATTTACATTTGTGGTTATTTTATGGTAAAATGCACCTAAAAATTCTACTTGGAGCCACAAACAGCATTACAAGCACAAGTTACACTTTTACTGTACATCTTACTGATGTTGCAATAATACCAGTAAATACATGTATATGGCATAGAATAAAACTGACAGGAGTATATTTAGAAATGGGTAATATAGCCACTAGCACTACTATATTTTCTACTGTCATAAATGTTAGTGTCTTTCTAGATTTTCCAAGGTACAGAGCTGAGCTGAACACAGGGAGAGCTGCCCTCGTTTTGCAGGGCTGACCCCAGTTCTTTAATCAAAGTACTCTCCTCCTCTGCATCAGTGCTTTTAGTGTAACCATTCCCAAGTTTCCTCCCATGCAGTTCAGCCTCTAAGTTCACCATTTCTACAATTCATGATCCTCATTCCTGAAATTGTCCACATCTGTAAGTGGAACAGTTGGACTAGTCGTGCAGTTTTTACTCTTCTTCCGTGTGCAGTTACAGATTTGTTTACCACAAACATACAGGATTTCAATAAGGTTTAGGATCAAAGACACAACTGCAACTACAAGCATAAACAGACTAAAAATGGTTTTCTCAGTGGGGCGTGACAAGAAACATTCTACTCGATGTGGGCAGGGGGATCTAGCACATGAAAACCTTAAATACAGCATGAACCCGTAGAGGTAATACTGGACCACAATGAAAGTCACTTCAAGCAATATCTTAGCAATAATATGTGCCATATAAGCACTCAGCAAACTCCGTCTGATTTTGACTTTCCCCTTCGTATCTGTGTATTTTGGTAATTTACTGGTTTTCTTCTGTAGCAGATTGTCAGACTCATCTTGTTCTTCTTTCAGCTTGCGTTGCCTCAGCTTCTCTTCCTTGTGGATAACATGCAAGACGTGTCCCAGGTACACTAGGGTCGGGGTGGACACAAGAATGAGCTGAAAAACCCAGAAGTGAATGAGCGAGATCGGGAAGGCCTTATCATAACACGCAGTCTGACATCCAGTATGTTGAGTGTCGCAGGTGAAGAAGGCCTGCTCATCACCCCAGACCTTCTCTCCTACAGCTCCCAGCAGCAGAATCCTGAAGACAAACAGGACAGTCAGCCAAATCTTCCAGATCACAGTGGAATGGGAATGTGCCTTATCCAAGCATCTGAACAGGAATTTCCAGCCCTCTATTCTTCCCACAGTTCTTAAAATTGAAAAAAATACTATGCTTTATTCATACTAGACCAGAAATCTAAATCAGGATTCTTTCAATCCAAAGAAGACTTTCATCACTTGACTTGTTATGAACTTCTAAATAAAATAAAAAGGTCACCTAGGACAATAATAGGAGGTTTTAGGTTATTTTTTGTAATAGAAAATACTCCCCTTTGGAGCTCATTAAAAATTAATGTTCTAAATGTGCTTCACAAATCCCCGTTTAAAATGCAAAATATGTGTACATCAATACAATAATATTCAATATCCTTCCGTTATTTTAAAATGGAAAATAACATTTTTTTACTTTAATCTTTTTTTCCAGAACGCAGTCTTACTAAATACAGTGTTTAATCACAAAACGTACCAGTGCAAAGTACCGCATAATGTTCAAATCTGTGTTACAAAATTGCACCTCACGACGTCTATTGACAGCAATAATTAACAGCACGAATACCGATTATTGATGGTGACATATCTAGAGAAACGGAAAAACAGTTTAAAATGAAGAGCACTGCCTTTTACAAGGTTCCCTTAATTCTTACAATTTACAATTTATTCTTACAATTTACTGTAAGTTGTGTGTTTTTGTTTAAGCAATAGAACCAATCCAAATTCTCGATTTCTCTGGCAATGGAAATATATATATATATGAACTTTTAGTAGAAAAACTGGAGGTCAGGTCCTAATCTCACACAGTTCAGCTAGCCTCCTTGTATACACTAAGTCTCGCACCCGGGACTTCCCGTAATGCATCTCTCTGCCACACAGTCCACACGCTGCAACAACCCGAGAGACACCGCACATCCGTCTCTCTCTCGCATTTATTAGGGTCGAACCCAACTACTGAAATGGTCTTAATCAAGCACCTTCCAGCTGAACGTCAAACATTTGTGGGACTGGGACTTTGCAAACCATGCTATGGAAGCCCGTTTCCGTCAGGGAGGAAAAAGAAAACGCGCTATGGCATCTCGTAATTGCGACTTACTGTAGAAACCCAGAATTGCGACTTTATATCTCACATTTGCGACTTCGAAATAACCCACATTTCATTGTCTGTCCTTTTGTTATTGCAACGGATTCGGGTTCTAGGGCTTGTGCCTTTGCCGCTCCCACCCTAGTTCGTGCCTCCCTGCATTGGCTTGAAGCCGGGTCCTGCCAGCTGAGCTAAGACCTTCTTTAGCCCCGGCGGCCAGCATCCCTGTTATGCGCAGGGTAGGGCGGTGCTGTCATCACACTGCAATCAGATCATACAACCTGTATGTCGGCTGTTCAGTTACACTAGATTCATAAATCGTACAGGATCTATAAGGCCTGAAGACTTGTCTTGTCAGGTGCCCTGATACAAATCAAATTAATTACACTAATTTTTATGGAATCCCATTTCCGCCAGGTAGGCTTCCATAGTACCCAGATGGAATAGTGGAAGGTGGGCTTTTAAAAAAAGGAGACAGCATATGAAAAAGACCGAGAAACAGACACTTCACATCCAGAGGAATTCACAATTATACAAGCTTAAAATTATACTTTTTACATACTTCCATTGTATGTCTTGCCTTTTGATTCTTTAAATTTCTTAAATAATTTAAGTAAAAAAGGAATTGCACTTTAAAGGCATTAATAGAGGGAGCACTATTAGACCATTTACTTTTGTGGATGAAGTGTTCTGCCAACATATTGTAACGCTTACGGCCGACAAGCAGTGTGTGTAAGAGCCGGCGTACCAGAGCGGGTGACGTCACCGCCCTTCCCTGTGATAGCAGGACCACAGCTACTGGGCTGTAGAGAGATCTCTCTTTAGCTCACGGGGCTAGGTCGCTGCAGAGAGACGCGGAAGTCCCGGGTTCGAGCCTCCAGTCGGGATGGGGCCGACCAGATGCGGCAAGGGCGCCCGCCTGAGCCCCCGTTGCGTTACAATATTTAACAGATTAATAATAAGAACATATTGTAGCGCATTTGCCCCGGGGAGCGGCCGAAGAGCGCCCGGAGAGCGCCCGGCTGGGGTGCGCGGTGAGGGGGCAGGACAGGAGTGGAAGTGGTCAGGGCGGGGTTTAGGAAGGCCGCTGACCAGTGCAATCTGCGCCCCGAATTCATTACAATATCCTTAATCCAAATCGTATCTAAATATAAAATATCAAAATCTTTAAAATTAACATTTACCTTTACATTTTTTTAACAGTAACATTTTGGAAAGCTATCCAAAACAATTTTGGTACAATTCCTTTTTAACTTAAAAAAAAAAAAGTCTTCTTTAGGTCAACTGGCAAGACCCGGATTCGAGCCAATGCAGTGAGGCACGAACTAGGGTGAGAGCGGCGAGGGCACAAGCCCTAGAACCCGAGCCCATTACAATCACTGAAGGACAGCCAATGAAATGTGGGCTATTTCGAAGTCGCAAATGTGAGATTAAAAAAGTCACAATTGCGAGATATAAAGTCGGAATTCTGAGTTTTAAGTCGCAATTCCGAGTTTTCAAGTCGTATTTCTGAGTTATGTCGCAATTCTGAGATATAAAGTCGCAATTTTGAGATACTGTATGAAGGCGCAATTATGAGTTTTTAAGTCTCAATTCTGAGTTTTTAAGACGCAATTGCAAAAAAAACATAGTGCGTTTTTTTTACTCCCTGACGGAAACAGGCTTCCCTACAATAACCACGTACGATGGTTAGAAACGATATAAACATTAACATACTGTATATTTCTCGAACTTCTTACCTGATGAAATGGAAAGTGCTGTAAAATCAACGCCTCTGAATCTAGAAAGAAACTCCTAAAATGTTTTTCCTAGACGATAAAGTCAAGTCAAGTTGTGAGTCTGGTTTCAACTTATTTCGCAACTCTCGCGTAGGGCTAAATCTACATAATAAAAGCCAGACAGCATCCGTTTTGGTTCAAATTATTTCCCGACTTGGATGTACAGTACGTGCAGGGTGGGAACGGAAAACGGTCCGGAGGCAGAGAGTTTTGTAGTAAAATCCAGTAATAGAGTAAACAAGTCACCATTTTGAACTCAAACATGTGGGCTATATACTGTAGGCATCCAGCTGCAATGATTAATAGAAATAGAAAACTGTAAAATAATTGGTGTGAAAATGTATTAAACATAAAAATCATATACTGTTTGACACTGTCGGGGACAGATTAAGGTACTTGTAGTAAACACCATAACTCCTTATCTAGTAGATAGTTACAGTATCTTACACTGCATCAAGCACTGAGAGTGATTAAATTAATGCAAATATTTTATTATCAATTAAGTAAAATATTTTTGTCTACCAAATATGCCAGATTGTGACTAAATGTGGATGTGACTAGAATATTGGATGTAACACTGCGCAATCTTTTTTTTTACCTAAACATGTTTTTATTGTGCAATAGTTTCTGTTATGTAAATTTGCATAATTAAAGAAAGGACCATCTGTGGATCTTGAGATTTTTCTCTTGCCAAATTTGTACATATTCTTTGCCATTTCATCTTATATTATATATGTATTAGCATTTCAGTTTATAAACGATGGATATAAAATGGAAGTGATTCTACCTGCACCCGTCAGATAATCTCAAGATTAAGATAAAGGATTATGAATTGCCTTTCCTTTTCTGAACAGACGGTATAAAGATGGTGTAAAGTCTGCAGCTCTCGGCTGGCAGGGTGGTGAGGTGTTGAGGACTGCTGCGCTGTGGCTCTGGGCTCTGGAGCTGGGGTCTGACCCTTGGTTCAGCCGCTTGAAACTACGGGAACTGGGCTAGGAGGACGAGTCTTTTACCACCCGTAATGAGTTATTATATACATGTATATTATATACATAATGTGGTACCAAAGAATGACAAAATTATACACCCCCTTCAGAGCGCGTTGCGTGTTCTTAGTCAGTCCATTGGATACATTTGCCACAGGACTGGACATACAGTATTCTAGTTGTGGTTGATTATGCCTCTTGCTAACAGGAGGTGTCCATTAAAAAATATATTTTTTTAAATAAAACCATTGCCAAGGAACTTGTAGAGCTCTTCTCCCGGGTTGGGATTCCCAAGGAAATCCTGAAGGACCAGGACACCACTGTTTATGCCTACATTAATGCAAGATGTCGCTTCTCCCCTGTGCTTTAATCATTTGTGCACCTCGGATTATCACCCGCAGACCAATGGGTTAGTGGAGTGATTTCATTGCACCTTAAAAGGGATGCTAAGAGAGGCAGTTACTCGGGATCCTCCATTTTCTAATGTCCGCAACACGAGAAGTTCTACAAGCTGCCACTGGGTTTTCTCATTTGGAAAAAACACCCTAGCGGGATAATTGACATTGCTCGGAAACTCTGGGAAACTCCAGAAGGAGTATCCTGGAATATGTAATACAGCTGCAAGAACATGTCAATAAGATCAAGACTATCGTTCAGGAGCATGTCAAGAAAGCACAGGACACTCCACAGTCTGATTATGATCAAAAGGTTGTGGAGAGAGAAGTTAATAGAGGTCCAAGGGAACAAGTAAAGGTTTATTCCATGCTGTAAAGAGAAGAAAAGAAACATAACGTTTCGGCTGTGGAGCCTTCTTCAGGTGTTAATAGGGGTAAGTGTTAGTGTAAGTGTAAGTGTTAGTTCTGCTCCTGTCTAGTGTGACCAAATTGTATTCCAAGGCAGGGGCCATATGAGGTGGTGGAACGGGTAGGGCTGGTGTATACCTGTCATGACCCCCAGCCAGCGGAGACCAACTCTTAAGCGAACTAATCAGCACCAGCAGCGGGTTATTATTAACAAGTGCTGCCGCACGAGTTAAACCACCTGCACACGCTCGACCGTGTGGCACGCAGTGCTATTTATACCATCCTAACCTGCTTCCCGCTGCTCGGTATTGAGTCTACTCCTTGAGAGCTCTACCTGGCGTTTTTCCCATACCTGGTTTATTCTGGATTCTGCACTCCCGTTCTGTCTTTTCGACTTTGGACCTCGCCTCTCGTCTCAGACTGTTTGCCTCCTGTGTTCTCCCCAGATGACGACCTACCTTACTCCTTTTGACCATGACCTTGCCTCTTGCTTTGGATTGTTCGCTTCTATTGCACTTCCTGGTTACTGAAACACCCTTTTCCTTTGGACCACGGACTCGCCTGTCGTATTGGATTGTTCACCTGCCTTGTCAACTACCCACTCCTGCGTCTGCACAGGATGCTCGTATCTCTCCATCAGGGATTTCTAACAATACCAACCTGATAAACAAAAGAAATAACAAATTTACCACATCAGCCTCTTGAAATGATGGTAGGAATGGGATCAGACACTCCTGGTTACTCAAACGGGGGTCACACAGGTTTCTCTGTGTGTTTGCAAGGAGCAAACTGTGAACCAGGTGCAGATCACTTCTGAATTCACGGGCACTAAGTACCAGGACATGAAGCAGTTCTTAAGCTGAAATCCGAATAGTTTCAGAGGTACAGTATGTCTGGAAGAACCCAGCATGAAGAGCATGAGATAATAACCCCACCAGGCATTGTAATATGGTCAATACCGTATAGGGTGCCTGAAGCCAGGAAAAATGAAATAATTCAAGTAGTTCATATAGGTACAGTCGCTGTGTCAGCAGCCGTAATCCTTACCAGTGGGGTAAGGGGGGGTGGTTAATCTCCTACAGTTTGGGTTGGGTCTAAGTGCAGATCCCCCAGCTACGCTACCATCAAGAGAGATCTGTTGTAGGACACAATGAAAAATATGTAATGTATGTAATAAACAGAATAAAGGTTGAATAGGATGTAATAAAAGAATGCTTTTATTTTAAAAAAAGTGCTGAGCAAGGCAGCATGGTGGTGCAGTGGTTAGCACTGCTCCCTTGCAAAGCGGGAGCTCAGGGCTCAATTCCAGACCTGGAAAACTTAATGAGCTTCCCCTCTGGGAGCTCTGGCTTCCTCCCACAGTTCATGGAAACAGTGGGAGGTCAAATGGCTTTGGGGAAAATGGGCCCTGGTGTGTGTCTGAGTCCCAGTGTGCCCTGGGATGGACCCTAGCTTGCAGCAACACTCGCTTGGAGAAGCCCTGGCTCCCCAGTGACCCTAGAAATGGATGGATGGTGAGGGGATTATGAACAGGTGGATTATTAATAATTAATATAAATAATATGAGGTTTTAATTTATACTGCTCCAGGTTTGGACCAAATCTGCATTGACACATAACACAGAAGGACTGCTTACATTGATTTAAACTTGATGAGTGTAACACAAAAAATGAAGCAGCAGTAAGTGCAAAACTGGTTCAAACTCTTCAAGTACAAAGTTTTTACATGCATTATGTTACATGCAAAAACACTTTCATACAGTGTGAGTAACCATCTGATTACACATGCACCCAATGTTTGCTTTTACAAGTAGTTTAATTTTAAAAAAAAAGCCATATCACTCTCTGTCTCATTCCTTTCTTATGCAGCTTGGATAAGATTTGATAATTACAGGGCAAGAATATCATTCACAATACATTGAAAGAGCAACCACTCTTAAGAAGGAACACAAAAGTTTTGGTGTCAAACGCAGAACAAGCACTTAGGATATGGAAGGAAATAAGGCCAAAGGGAAAGCAATGGGACCTTGATTGTATCGAGTACAAGTCTTTGCTGTTTTCTATTGGCCCCTTTTAATCTGCAGTGGGAAAACAGAAGCTCTTAGAAAAAGATCAACAGTAATTTATCTGTTTCTTTGTTTGAACAGATAAATACTGTCACGAGCCACATACAGTGTTACACACACAATTTACACTCTATAACTTACAGATTTTGCAATAAGTACAATTAATACATGGCATTGAAAAACAACCCGAGAGGATTACTTTTAGAAATTTGAAATGTAAAAACCAGTCCTAATACATTTTCTACATAAATGTTACTCTTCTCTCTACATTTTTCAAGGCACATACAGAGCTGGACTGAACACAGGGAGAGCTGCCCTCGTTTTGCAGGGCTGACCCCAGTTCTTTAATCAAAGTACTCTCCTCCTCTGCATCAGAGCTCTTAGTGTAACCATTCCCAAGTTTCTTCCCATGTAGTTCAGCCTCCAGGTTCACCCAGTTCGGGAATCCATCATCCTTCTTTTTCAAATTGCCATCATCTGCACACGGAGACGCTGCAGTAGCCGTGTAGGTCTTCTGCTTTTTCTGTGTGCAGTTATAAAGCTGTTTGCCGCAAAAATAGAAGATTTCAATAAGGTTCAGAGCCAAAGAGACGACTGCAACCAGAAGCATAAACAAAATAAAAATAGTTTTCTCTGTGGGGCGCGACATGAAACAGTCTACTTGATGTGGGCAGGGAAAGCTGTTACATACAAACAGAGGTTCCAGCATGAAACCATAGAGGTAATACTGGCCCACAATGAAAGCCACTTCAAGCAATATCTTAGCAATAGTGTTTGCAAGATAACTATTCAGCAAACTCCCTCTGATTTTGACTTTCCCCTTTGTATTTGTATATTTTGGTAATTTACTGGTTTTCTTCTCTAGCAGGTTGTCAGACTCATCTTGTTCTTCTCTCAGCGTGCGTTGCCTCAGCTTCTCTTCCTTGTGGATAACATGCAAGACGTGTCCCAGGTACACTAGGGTTGGGGTGGACACAAAGATGATCTGCAGAACCCAGAAGCGAATGTGGGAGATTGGGAAGGCCTTATCGTAGCACACATTCTCACACCCAGGCTGCTGTGTGTTGCACAAGAAATCTGACTGCTCGTCACCCCAGACCTTTTCTGCTCCAGCTCCCAGCACCAGAATCCTGAAGACAAACAGGACAGTCAGCCAAATCTTCCCAACCACAGTGGAATGGGATTGGACTTTATCCAGCAGTCTGCCCAGGAATGTCCAGTCCCCCATTCTTCACTCTCTTCAGTCTGGAATAAATTCATTGACATGGCATAACACAATAATGACAATAATAAAACATACAAACTCAGAAAAATAATTTGTATGTTAAAATTTACAAAAAAATATTAAATGTTACAGTATATAAATCATATTGAAATTTCATCGATAACTTTTCTATTTTGATTGATTCAGTGGATCTTTTCTTATCTTTCCTTACTTACCATTGTCCTGCACTTTTTTTCTACAGTTAACCAAACACTCAAGAAATAATATTAGTCTGAAACCAAATCAAGTGAACATGTTCATCAGTGTTTTTTGAGAAAAAGGATCATCGCGTTTATATTAAAGTGTGCTGAATCTAGGACACTCCTCGTTCATTTCTGTGTGATTGTTAATGTTTTGACTAGCTGAATTTCGTATTGTCTAAGACCAGGGTGATAGAAAACACTTTTAACCAAAAACATCTCAATGTACTCTCTTGTAGGGAACTAATTAAACAAAGTTAAAATCAATACAGAAGGAAAAGGAAATGTTTTCCATATATTATAAAGATTTTTAGTTAGTTGTGTACTGAAAGTTAAAATATTTAGGCAGTTATTATCACAGTTCTTTTGGATGTGGAGTCTCGGACAGGAGATTGCAGTATTTGTGTCTATCTTAACAGAGGGGTCCAAGCTATCAAAACACATTATTTTTCTTAATGACAATTTAAATACTTTCTTGTTGATAAACATATTATTATAGTAAAAATAAACACACAAACCAATGTCTTTATACATGGCAACAGAAGACAGATTACATGCCAGTCCTAGTTTATCACTAATACAACATTTTTAATCTTATGGGAGCCAAGGACTTGACCTTCCCCAACGTTCAAACACAGACTGCTTTTAACAGGAGATATTGTATTTGAATTCACTTTCTTTCTGTGTATCGCAATCAGTCACTATTGTGTCATGATTGACTTTTTTCTATTTCAGTGTAAGAGGATTTACTCCCTGATTGCTAACAGGTTTTACAGTTTTATAGATTTTTTATATCTAAAATATATACATCACTGACTAAGTGAGTTATATGAAAATAAAAATAAAATCAGCAGTGTAATTTTTCAGGATTTCATGTGAATTCAAAGAATAGATACATCCTTTTAGAAAAATAGTAGATGTTCATTTAAAGGGAAGATTTGTTTTGGAGTGACAGGGAAGATTTGTTTTGGAGTTTAAATAATTAGGACACAGTTGAAAGACCTGTGTCCTAATTATTTAGGATAAACCCTGTAATTGAAAGGCAGTAAGTGCTTGATTAGACCTTTACAGGCTGTTCCTGCACACAGTTCCTGGTTTTAAAAATACCTAGTTGTTGGTGTACTGCTTCTTGGAATGTTCAGTCTTTCTTGAACTTAATTAAATTGTTGCTTCTCTGTTTTTGTATCAACAGCTCCTATCAGATTATTTACGCAGGTGAGGGCTGTATCAGGCAATCAATCTTTGTTTCCTAAAATGAGCTAAACTCCAGAGGCATAAATCAAAGGGTTTCTAAAACCTAGAAATGGTACAGTGTACATGCTAATTTCTGACGCTATTAATCTTTTTTGGAACTGAAAATGATTAAAAATGACAATATCCAGCTAGTAGTTCAAACATCTGGTAAATTAGCCAGGCTAATTAATACTAGTAATCATAACAATTTACTTCCATTTTGAGTGCTTTTCAATAAACATGTGGCACTTAACAATAGCAGAAATATAACACAACAGAAGCAAAAACTAGATTTCAAAGGATTTCAAGGAATTGGAATAAAAAGTATGACGAATGTTGAAAACCGCTATTCTGGTGAATACACAGTGGGGGAAATCACACACTCTTTTCACTTCCAAAAAAACACGTTTTAAAATGTGTTACTTACCGGAACCAGTGTCTGATGTGAAATCGGGTCAGTTCTGGTCTGATCCCAATGAGATCCAGGTCTTCACCACTCAGCAGCTGGTGATATCATGCACTTTCAGACAAAGCATCCCCTGAGTCTAGAGACAGGGATAGAGTGACCTTTCCCCTTCACAAGGAGGTCCTTATTAAAAGGAATATAACTTTGTTAACTTCGACGTAAAGCATTAGATAAAAATTAGTTATGATACATGTACAAAAAGCTTTCAACAGCTTGAACCTTAGGAAACACTTTTCAAAAAATGTTTTTTTTTTCCAGCATGTACATTTGAAAAAATAAGAGTACAATAATATTTAATAAAGTTTTGTGCATGATACCTTCACTAACTTCTCAAAATTAAAGATTACTATGCGCTTTGTATGGAAAATCTATTTTCTGAAAATTACATTTGCATTTACATTCTGAACATATGTTAAGTAAGATAATGTATTCAACTTCCTCAAACACGACACACACACTCACACCAGGGCCAATTTTATCAAAAGCCAGTTAACCTGCCAGCATGTCTCTGGTCTTGGAAAGAAACCAGAGCACCTGGAGAAAACCCATGCAAACCCATGAGAACATACAAACTCCACACAGACAGCAACAAGGGACTGGACCCAGGGCCCACCCAGCACTGTGAGGCAGCAGTGCTAACCACTGCATCACCTGAAGTGGAGATGGTCATGAAAACCTGAGTGCTCAATCTGAGTGCTCTTACAGCTGAAAAGCAAATAAAATCTGCTCTTTTTTCATTTCACTCTGCGTTGACAGGACCTGAGATAAAAACTGCCCTCCTAACATCAACGCCATAGGGATTCTCACAACCATATTCCACTGGGGCTTCCCTCCCACCCCAACATCCTTTCCTCTCCCAGGATCTTCCAGCTTCTCCGTGTTGCAGGATGTCCCTGCCACAGGAACATTTCGCCCAGACCCACCCATCATCCCATATCTACGACAACCCCATCTGCGCAGCTTCGTGTCCACCGTTCCCTTAAACACCCACAGCCACCTGATGCTCTAACAGAAGCCAGCAAATCACAGCAAGCATATACAGGGCTCCTGTGGGCATTTCAAGATAACCACAAGGTGTCAGCATGTGCCCTGCAATCTCAGTTATTGCAGCTCTTGCAGGAAAAGTCCTGCCATTTACATTGGTGAAACACGAAAGACTGACTGACCATTTCTTTGCTTAAGGCAGTAGAGATCAAAACTATGTCCAAGACGACAGCTCCCCATTCTACCTCTCTGGCAATGATTACAATAACCTTTCACTCTGTGTCCTTTTACTGTAAATGGATTAAGGGACTCCTACTCTTGAAAGACATCAGAAACTAAGATTATTCTTAAACTTGTATCACACTTTCTCCTGTTTGTCTCCCATTTCTCCAGTGTCTTTTTATTTAAAAATCTCCAAAAATAACTGCTTACACTTAAAGTGCAAAATCAAACAGCATTCCAAGAAGGAAACAGAAACAGTTATGATCCCAATAAACTAACTTCACTCCTGACACTCCTAATAAATAATAAACCCCACTGAAAACAAGGACTCAGAACCTGAACATGAATGTTGAATGAGGACATCCAGGTGTTTACTCCCTCAGAACTGCACTGCAGCATGTTGGACGGGATGCATGTGGGACGTTCTAGAGTTGCTCTAATGAAAGCTTTGGCTAGAAACTATATTTTACGGTTTGAAATTGACACCCAAATTGAACAGCAAATGAAAACACTCTTGTTAGAGTGTTCAAAATTCATCTAGTCCTGCACCTCTTCTTCTCTGAATGTTACCTGACATTTGAGGGACACAAAGTGGCCAGACATTGCTGTGAGGACTGTTCAGCTATGGAATTCCTCAACAGCTTGTGAGTGACAGGGGACCTCAGTTAAAATCCAGTGGGTTTGCGGTGTTTCTGAAATCCCATCCTGTGAGGCATATCTGTTGTGCCCCATACCATCTCACCACGAATGGGCTAGATAAACGCTTTACCCAAACCTTGCAACACAAGGTAACTGGTCAGGTAGGCTGAAGCCACACATAGAAAGACAGTATTAAGAGCATGTTTAGTACAGATAGTCTCTGCTGTTGCTGGGGCAGAATTATCGATTTTGTCTATCTCGAAGTCAGGGGCTGTCTAACTCCCTGCCTACGTCTAGTATAGTTCTTAAAAAATGGTTCTTTATTCATGTTGGATTATTCACAAGATGATTAAGTGGATTAAATGGATTGGAGATGTTATTTATTTGTATTGTTTTTTTTTCTCTAGCTAACCTATACACAAAAACTTTTTTGCTTTTTTTGAATTTTGTGTTAAACCAATGTGAACTAATTTACATTTTTCCAGCTGCTCTATGACAGACTGCCATCATCATTTATATTTAATTTTGTAAGCAAACTTTTGCAACATGTGAAATTATGCTGGGTCACCTGTTGAGTGACTTTTAGATAGGTGACAGTCTGACATCTCTTTAATGTGAATTATTCTGTCAGTAGAAAAGAACAATCTGATAATGTCGATACTGTATCTTGAATGTTTTATTTCATTTTCTATCTGCTTTAACCAATTGAGGGTCATAGAGGAGCTGGAGTCTTATCCCAGGCATACAATGGGTATGAGGCAGGGTCCTCCAGTTTATTGTAGGGCACACACAGACACTATTGAATACAGTATGTGATCCATTGGACAGATTGTATTTACAACAGTTCTGTAAACCAGTGTTGCAGAAAGAAGGCTGGCAAAACCCCCCACCCTCTTACAAATATTTGGAAAAAAGAACTTAGATCACAACAAAGTAAACAACTGTATAGTATGGGATGAAAAGTTGCAGATAAATACAGAGGCACTCATAAATGTCATGACAGGTCTACTTTACTGAAATACACCATATATTTTTAAACTTTACAAATCAGTGATAACAGAGGAATTGTCTTATAATACCTGATGAACAAAGAATACAACACATTCCCAAAATCAGAGAAAACTTTACTGACAACAGGTATTGAACCGTAGATGTGCCACGCCAGTTAATCTGGTTAATATTCACAGAACTCAGATGGCTAAAACTTGTTTATTTGAAAGCAAAGCTACACAAGTGTTTAGCTCCATATACAATCAACTGATGTAGCAGCTTAACCATTAATCTAGAGATATTTCACAATGTCAAAGTGTACTTCTGTGGTGCTTGAAATGCAGGGGGAGGGGACCCCCATCTCTTCCACCACCGGTGCTCAGCACCAATCTGGGAGATGCACAGCAGCCATTGTGGACCAGGACACTTCTGACACATAAGAAGCGAATCATTCGCGCATCTTCAGAAACAGCTGTTTGAAACTTGCATGCCATTTTTATGCTGTTTGATGATAACAACTCACAGATCAAGAAGAGATCATTCTTTTTAAATACATGGAGACCTAAAAAATATCTTCCACATATGACCACTGATTTAATAACTATAAACAGACCGAGCAGCAGAGAAGAGATCAAAGGTAGCAGCACTGCACCACCCTATTTCCTAGATATACATCAGAATATAAGTCTTCTTTTGAGCTAATGACTGTTAGGTCACTCAATCTTCATCATTTTAGAAAAAAAATATTTCAGTCATTATAAAACACATAATGCACATACAACAGGAGAAACAGAAATGCCACCTTTAAACAGTACATATTGCTATATTTTAAAAAGAGATTCACAAAGAAAAAAAAAACTCTGTATAGTTAGTTATGTTGCAGAACTACACAGCTTTCCAGACAAGAGGTTTTAAATATTGTTTTTATAGTATTACATCTTAATGAAACAATTTTGCTTATGATTTTACAACATGTAAATGTTACTGTAAATTCTACATGTATTTTCTATATTTCCTGTATTTTCAGAAGGCTGCTGATGTCATTTCCATCTTTCTGAAGGAGCTTTTACAGAAAGAGACCACAAAAAGTTCAGGTGCTCACAAGACTTCTAAATATTTGTGTTGCTTATTTTTCTTTAAATCTCTTCACTCCTTTATTTTTCTACAGCAGATGTAGAGGTCAAGCTAGAGGAAAAATAGCCAATTGACTAAAAATGATTAAGTTAGTCAATAATTCAACTTGTCGAAATTTTAAGGCACATCTCACAGAAAAAAAGTGTAATGATGAGGTGCAGATTGAGAAAAAACAAAATACGCCGAGTTCAAATGCTGCTTCTGCAAATATTTAAATGTAACCATTTGTTAATTTTCATGTCATAAAAATGGACTCAACACTACAGCATTCACTAGTAATGATTATTTCCATCGGGCAAATACAGGTATTTCTATAAGAGAAAACCATGAAGAAGTTAAATTATTAAACTGTAAATCATCAAACAAAATAAGATATGAAGGAGTACTTATTACAGGTCACATACAGTACTAACAATAATGCACAGCAATTAGACAACTGCCACACTTCACAGTCCTCAGCACAGCACGAATGTTGAAGACCACACTTGGCCGCTGCTCCTCAGCTGTCCTCCGAGTCGAGTTTTTTTTTCAAATCGTCCTAGAGAGCATGTTGGAGCCCCAGACCCACATCCATTCAGGCATGTACCGGGAGAGCCAAAACTGGAAAATACAAGCACAAACAGCGATAGAAAGAAGCTTGGCTCAGTTCACAACACGACAGAATTAAACACGGAGGGGGACCAGAGGACTGTTTTATTCACTTTTTAGTTCTAAATGTTTTATTCCACATTACCAGTAACAGCGGGCTATTGTTATTACTTAATCCTGGACTGAAGTGTTGGCATTCTTCTGGACTGGAAAAAAATAGCCAAACTGAACCTAACGCCACTGCTCTGTTAGAATTTCTTCAAGGCTAGTGCAGATCCCACTATTTAATTTTAGACTACCATTTTAATTACTAAAAAACAGAATCATTTCCAAAGCTTTAAGACGGCATTTTGCAGGTCATAGTAGTTTGCTGCTTTCTCCAGCGATGCCACTGTTGGGACACTGGGCAACATTTTAACCGTCTGCTCCAAAGAAACCCCTCGCTTTCATTGTACACAGTACAATATGTACAGTAACACCTGAGATCCACTTTGAATAAGAAAACAAGGATAATTGTAGTACTGATATATATTAGTATTACGGAGCATTAATTGTATAGCCTTCAGTTATAAAGGAGTACTTATTTCAGGTCAGATATTTGCAACTATGCGCTATGCACATCTTTGGAGGAATTAAAATGTTTCATCCCAACTGTCACTTGAGAACAGAACCGACTCTGAAAAGAACAATCTTTTTTTTAAAAATGGTATTCCTACTGAAACACGTGAAATAACTTATTTAAAGAATACAATCTTAACATTTTGTTTTGTTTCCATGACAGTCAATCCACATACTAATGTGAATCCCACCACACGTTACGGATGAACACGAGCTTCAGAGCAGCAGGCTGGCGCACCTGTATGGAATGTGGCCAGTATCCGGTTGTCCGGTGGGAAATGCCCAGCGTGGAGATGGCGTGACGAGCGTACACCTGTGGGTGAGGTACCAGCCATCCACCAGAAGCAGCGCCCACTTCAGAGATGTAAAAAGGAACCAGACTCTGCACAAAGACCCCCTTTGAGGCATATTCATAATACAATGCACGGCTGAAGTGATCTAAATAAGCCTGGAACAGAAAAACAGACACGCCGTTTGCTGTCAAAGCAATGAATTAACGACGCTCTGCAACTGGATGTGCTACCACATGTGTTAAATCACTGACAGGGTTACGTTGTCCAAGACAATTGGTAAGGATGCAAAGGAACAAGTAATAGGTTTATTCCATGCTGAAAAAAAGAAGAAAAGAATTGGTAAGGATGACTGTTTTGACAGTAACATTACACTTAATTCAAAGTTTTGATATTTCTTGCTTTATCTAAAACAAACAGTAAAAGATCTGACCCACCCTTAGGAATTTAGTGAGGAAAAAAGTTGAAAGCATGCATGGAAGACACTATATAAAACACCTGCTTTGACCAAATGTTTGAATGCAATGCAATGCCAGAACTTACAATGCTGCTTAGTTACATCTGTCTGACATTATAATTGAACTTCTAGAGACCAGCATGGATAGCATTTCACCTTGGATGCTGAGTAAGCTGTCATTTTTGGGGTAGGTTTACAACAAGATCCCGAAGAGATGTTAATAATAGCTCCTTTCTTTCTTTCAACCATCCCTGGAAGAACAATGTGCACCATCATTGTTGCAGCTGCGATATTTATGTTAATTATGTCCCAGAGCTTGTTTTCAGGAACGTTAGTAAAGTGCTGTGGGTATTCGGAGGGCACGCAGATATTGTTTACAAGAAAGCCGATCTCTTTGTCCTTCACGGCATCCTTAATGGGCTTGTACGCCTCCTGCCCCTGACTGAAGTCGGCTCCGATAGTCGCGGTTTCCACGCCATAAGCATCAGCAATGGCCTTGGCGAAGCTCTGCAAGCCGCTCTCGCTGCGACTTATCAGGATTATGCTGACGCCCTCTCTCGCCAGCTCTTCTGTATAAGCTCTCCCTAAGCCATCACTAGCACCTGCAAGAAAATAAAAACAGGAAACAATGCAAAAACTATTACAAGAGCAGGCAGGCACAACATGATGTGTTTTAAAACAAAAAAAAAGGTTGAAAAACCCTCAACTACTTTTGTCTAATATTTTAACGTACACGCAGGGCCAGTCACGTAAATGTTTGACATTTTCTAACGGGACAGCATCACAGTTCACAACAAATCAAACATGTGCCACCAAATTGCATCCCCCACCCACAAACACACACGAAACTCACGTTAGAATAAAAGGCTTCCAGAATAGTTTATTTCACAAATTGCTATTGGATGCACAGTTATTTTAAGACGGTCGGGAACAAGTGGTTTGGCTGTGACCTGCGTTCGCTGGGCAGGAGCCTGGAGCTTACCGCACACCACTGCCCACTGGCCGTACTGATGAACCAGGTCTCTCCTGCTCATCAGCCGTGGGATGAAATGCAGCCTGATCAGGCTGTAACAGTCCCTCGCAATGGCAACAGCTGTGCTGGCCGTGTAGAAGGCACCCACCAAAGCAAGCGTTTCAACGTAACAGTTGCACGACCGGGCAATTTCGCGATACAGAAGGTAGAAGCTGTCTACTGCAGCCATGGCATTCGGGTTTGAAAATATATTTCCTCGACCTGTATTTCTATCTGCTGCAGTTTTAACGCAAACGCACTACGATATATCCTAATGAAGCTAAATTTGTGAGTGCATGCACACTTCTGTATCACACTGATAAGAAGTTGCTAAAGTAATACACAACTGAAACCGGAAGAAAATGCCACGCTGCTAACCACCTGACTCTCGCATGAGCGGGGCATTTAACAGGTTATTGGCACTGTAAATGATTTTGAAAATGAATTAAGGGGTGCGTTAACTTTACACGTTTATTAGCCAATTGTATTTATTGTTTAGAAACCAGCCTACGGACAAACATATTAACAGCGTCATTTCCCAGCTAGCTCGAACTTCCCATGATTCATTGCGCAGTTCGTCTTCCGCTGTCGCGCTGCTGCTTCTTCGTTTCTATGGAGACGGGACGACTCGAAACCGGAGCTCCTAGCAAGCAATATTCAGTGTTGTGTATTTTCATTACCTAAAGAGACATAAAAGTGTACTTTGGGTGTATAAAAAGGCGTCGCTCAAAGATAACATTGCTTTATCTTGGAAACAGAATGATTCTGCGCTTCGAGCTTTGTTTACGTCTTACTGGCTCCGGTAATGTCGAATACTGAAGCTGGTTTTCAACTGGGTGTTGAGGTACGAAAACAAGTGTGTTTTAAAATGCTTTCCCCCAGCATGTTATCTGATAGCTGTGCTAATACTCCACTCCTAATTCTAAGTACGATGTAATGTATGATTGTAAATATTTGCGTCCTAACTGCTGTAACAATGGCCGCAGTTTGAAATCTTAATGTCGAACATTTTTTTTAATTCAGTAGTTGACAGTTTAACTGTGAACAGTTAAAACGTCGCTGAGTTGACATAATCTAGTTAAATAAAAAGTAGGTATAAATATTTGTATTGTCTACTGTGCCTGCTACGCGTAAGAACAGTCATAGCTTAAATATGTTCGTTGTTTTGCTTGAACATGTATCATTTGTACCATAAATGTGCACCTGTATCACAGGCAAACGTTGTCGTTTTGCTCTGATAGGCAGGAAAATCCATGTTCCAAAGATGTCACATTTTTCCAGCGAGGATGAAGTGGAGCTCCAGTCCCTGTTGAGACACTTGCTTGAGAGTGTGAAAGAGAGAATCAGAGGTGCACCTTCTGCTGAGTGTGCAGAAGAGATTCTTCTCCATCTGGAGGAAACGGATGAGAATTTTCATAAGTAAGAGGACAAAGAAATATGATTGATTTTGTTTTAGAATTGTTGAGCTTATGGTGATGCATATCTCATGTAATTCTGTTCTTAAGACAGATTATTTTTGACAGTTAATTTCCTTAAATATAAATTATTAATATTTCCATTACTGTGCCAATTGTATAAAACCATAAGAAGCAGTTAAGTTTTTTTTACATTAGAATTGTCTGCTATTTTCCTATTCATCAACCTCGGTTTTCAATCTTCCAAGTCTCAACTGAGTTTTTTCATGTGTACAGCCCTCGTACTAGCACGGGGGTTTAAAGGCCATGTACACATCCTCACAAATGTGTAGCTGTTTCAACCCACAGCTCTGCTGAGAGGCCTGGAGCCTCGGAGAAGATGCAGCTCTGTTTGGCAACACAGGAAGCCCTCAGGCACCTGGCAAGTCACAGGGGTCATTGCTCAGCCTGCAGATGATCACAGATCCACCCTGGTGATGCTGGACCAGCTGTGTGCAGCCTTGTGCAGAATCACAGTCCTGGTCAGCACATGATATAGCACCTTTACTGCTTAACTCACAAAGGAAAATCTCTGTTACTATTGCTCATATCATGGGAGCTATTGCTCTTACATCATGATTATTATGCGGTGGCTCAGGATCTGCGCCTGTGGCTGGAAGGTTGCCGGCTCAAATCCTGCAGCCGCCAGAGGAATCCTACTCCGTTGGGTCCCTAAACAAGGCCCTTAACCCCAGCTGTTCCAGGGGTGCTGTACAATGGCTGACCCTGCGCTCTGACCCCAAGCTTCTCATCCTGTGTGTGTGTCTGTGTCTCGTGGAGAGCAAGCTGGGGTATGCGAAAAGACGAATTCCTAATAGCCCTATTATAGGGCTAATAAAGTGATGTAATGTAATGTTAAATGTAATGTAATATGTGCAGTATGTATATGTAAGAAGTACAACCTTTGTGTTTCAGCTATGGGTTCATCATGTATCTACGGCACTATGTTGAGAATATGCTGGGTTCAGTCATTGAAGCAGAAACAGAGTGCTGTGCAAGTGGTGAAGGTCAGGGAGTTGGGCCGGGTCAGGACACGCTGGTTCATGCTGTCACAAGGAGGACCCGAGAATCCAACGAGTATGTTCTTCTGAGTCTGAATCGTGTTCAAGCCTTCCTGATTCCTCACTGCATTTCATTAGTGTTGCTTGACCTAACTGCTGAGCTCAAGGGTTAGGGTTGAAAAACCCAGCCTTAAGAAGTCATCAACTCTTTAAGTAACTCGGATAAGTTAAACTAGTTTGAATTGATCAAAATTATAATTGCTTAGTACTATTTTAAATAATCATGTATAATTCTTTGTGAAATTCCTATTTTTAATAAACTCTACAGTACATCCATAAAGAGTAAATAAGAAAGTTAAATTGCTGCAATAAAAATGTATTTGTAATTATTCATTAAAGACACAAATACCTGTATGTTCTTTATATATATATTAGGTATTTTAGTAAACTTATTAAAAGCTCTCTAATATGTTAGTTTTAGAATATTAGGGAATTTCTCCCTTATCTTTTAATCTGTATTGTGAATGTTTTTTTTTTCAATTTTCCTCCTGACAGATACAAAGAAATGATCCTGTCATTGAAAAATACCATGATGGTGGCGGTGGAGTCTCTGATTAATACATTTGAAGAAGACAAGTTGAGGAAAGAGGAGACACATGGCAAAAGCCAGCATGAGCAGCTCAGCAGTCATTACACCGACAACTGCTCAGACAGCGACTGCTCTTTCAATCAAGTATGGACGTTTTAAAGAGAGTGTAGCAAAGCCATTCTGCAGAAAGTGTAAATCCACCGTTTATTCAGATTTCACTACATTTATTAAATTAATTAGTACATTGATCAGGTTTGACTTTTTAACCCCTTTTTCTTATATTTTGGTGTGACCTCAAATTCCAGTGAAAATGAATTTGTGTTCCGTTCATGTAGAAGACCCATTTCAGGACTGTTTTCAGGACTTTCCCTGAAGCGATGTTTTTCTATATTTTAAAAAACTTAAAAGAGCATTTTAAATTTGGACATAGGCATTAGGCAGTAAAAATATATTAGAAATACATATTTCATTTGGTTGCTTGTAATTAAAATGTCCTAGTGAGATTGATGACTATAGCCTTTTGGCAAAAATAGTATTGACATTTTGTCTTTTTTCATTTGATATTTTTACAGAGTTATGCTTTTATAAAGCAAGAGCAGCTTCAGGCTATTGCAGAAAAAATAGACTCTAGTCAACCCAAAGAGGTAAGGTTGATTTTAATACCATATTGCAGCATTTACTCCAGTATTGTTTCTGTTAGAATCATTTTGTATTGTATATCAGGGCTAACTGATTTAATTAATTCTTGCAGTACATTATTTAGTACATTTATTAGATTCTATGTATTTTTCTTTATTTCCTTCTCTGGGTCAGAGAGCTTTCGTAATACAGATATATGAAGCTATGCAAGTGATTTATCTGGACAAATGCTTTTTTTTTTTGTTTTAACCTCTGGAGGTGATTATGTATCATTATACATATGCTTCAGCCTAAAAAGTGGGAGTGTGTTTATTGAGAAGGAGCTCCGGCTCCCCGGGTGACAACGGCTCGTGCGAGCTCACTCACTGTGCGAGTCCTCGTGCTCAGGTCCGGTGGGAGGCCCTGCAGACCCTGTGCTGTGCCCCTCCCTCTGACGTGCTCAGCTGTGAGAGCTGGACTGGCCTTCGCAGAAACCTCTCTGCCGCCCTGGGAGACCCCGACCCTGCCTTCAGTGTAACTCTTTTTATTTTTCAAGCATTTTACAGCGGATATTCTCCTCCAGTATTCTAAAGACGTTTCTAAATGAACCCTGTAGTGAGTTATTATGTTGTAAGTTTTTATTACCGGACTGTTCCGGCAGACCACGCAATGGTAAATTTGCTATTTGAACAGTGCTGTTACACACACAGACTAATTTTTTTTAATCTATTTTTATATTACAGTTATATTTGAAAATACAATTTCCTAGTTAAAGAAGTCAGCCTTTGAATTGGTCACTTTGTATTGTTCAGATGGCATGTTATATTTGAATGTTTTAAATGAAAAATGTGATATAACAGTAAATATAGTATTTCCATTAGTTAAATAAAAATTACACCCTAATGTATGTGGTTATATAAACTGATGGAGAAAAGAAACGCAACATTTTCTGGAATCAGAATACTATAGTTGTAGCTTATGTATTTTCACAAAATGTTGTCAATTTGTTTAAGGCCTCTGACCAGCAATATAACTTGTGCAGTGAGCCATTGCAACTTAGCCAATTACACAAAAGCTCGTTACGTGCACTTTTACCCAACAAGGTCCAGGAGGAATAATGTCTGATCAGGTCACCTTTAAAAAGGGCTTAATTCAAAGCTTAGGTCGCTGCAAGAAAAAGGCCACACTTAGTCAGTTTTCTGTGCATTCTGTAATGCCTGGAATGTCACCAGAAGCATGGGAGAGGGCCATTGGCATGCTGCAGATAGGCATGTCATGTGCCAGCGTTGCCAGACACTATGGAGTGAGCCGCTCCACTGTGTCCCGACTGCAGAGAAGGTTTCAGCAGACCGGCAGGACAGATGACCGTCCAAGAACCGGTCACCCTTGAGTGACCATACCAGAGCAGGACTGACATATCAGACTGGTCCATCTGAAAGACTGTAGCAGATCTGCCACCCGTACTGCTGCTGAAACTGCTGGCAGACATAATGCCCGCCTCAGTGACAGGACAGTGAGGCTCCATGCTGCTGGCCTTAGAGCAAGATGACCTATTTAGGACAGACAGAGGCTGCGATGGACTCGTCATGTATGAGTCACTCTTCAGCCTGTTCCACGCAGACGGGAGGGCCAGAGTGTGGAGGAGGAGGTGTTGTGTTTTTTTTTTCCATCTGTATACATTTTATTTAAAATATGTTGTTTGAGGCTCTGGAGTTAATCTTTCAGGAAAAAAACCCAGTGTGAAGTAAAGATTTAGTTAAAATCCAGGCTACACCACTTGTGCCTAGTGTTTTTTTATAGATTGAGTTATCTGAGAGTCCTTGGCTGTTAAATACAGACAGTCTAGGTTTGGGGAGTAAAGGGCTTGCTATTATCATTAAGAGCTATGTTTGTCATACTTATCACAGCCGCCCTGCTTTGAGTATTCCTGTGGTGTCGAGGGCTAATGCAGTAGCTTAGCTGAAAATCTAATAAGGTTTTCCAAATATGTAATAAAATTGAAAGTATTTTCAATTCTTAATATCAATTATAATAAAAATGTCCTTGTTGTTTGATTTAATATGGGAGCAAATGAATTGATAATATTCTTACTACCTGCATTGTGATGACGCCTCCTCTCAGGTACTTCAGTGGTGTTGGTGCTGTATTATTGTGGAGTTTTGTATTCAGATATAAATAGAGTCATTATTTATATTATTGTTATTATACTGCTGTTATTTTTTCCTTTTAGGATAAGGTTCTAAAGTTCTATGCAAAGACCTTTTCATCTTCACCATTGAATATAACAAGAGAAATCTATACTAGTTTAGGTAAGTATAAGTTTTGGTTATTTTAGAATTTGTATTAATACATAGACTAATTTCTATGAAAATTATTACATCCCCTGATTGGTAATGCATATAAAGTGCTGAATAAAAGTTTGTAAACTCGCTCCATTGTTTCTTATTCTCATATATTTTAGCCTTAAATGTAATTAGATCTTCATGAAAGACTTAATGAAAGGTCAAGATAACCTAATTGTCTTAACACAGAGAGATGAGGTATATTTGTATTCAATTAAAAGAATGGTCGAACAGTAAATATCCTCGTGTGAATAAATATGAACCCTTAAATTCAGTAACTTGAAGTACCTCCTCAAGAACCCGTGACTTCAACTAGTAATTTCCTGTAACTTTTTATCAGTTTCTGACGTCGACTTACTGTAGGAATTTTGGCCCTTTCTTCCTTTTAGAACTGTTTCGAGTCAGAAACATTTGAGGGTTTCATTGCATGAAAAGTTTGCCATAAGATTTCAGTGCGGTTTAAGTCCACTCTTTAACCTTTCAGAATATCTTCAGAATTTAGGCCCAGCTTCAGCTAAATTGCCAATAAAGTGCTGAATTCATGGTTATGTTATAAAAAGCTGTCTAAGTCCTGAGCCCTAAACCATGATACTCCCACCACCATTCCTGAAGCCTATGATATTGTCTATGATAATGTCTACTGTTGAAAGGCAGTGTTTGGTTTTCACCTCACAATGTTTCTCATTGTGACCAGAATGTACAATTTTGGCTTATCTGTCCAGAGAACATTCTTCCAGTAGTCTTGTGGATTGCCTCTAGGTGCTCTTTGCTAAGCTTTAGATAGAACGCAATGTTCTCTATAAAGAACAATGGTTTCACCCTGTCTGTCCTCCCATGATAACCATTCCTGTTCAGTCTTTCTAGTTTTTTCGGCATTTGACTGTGTCTGACAGTGGATGACTGGATAAACAAATGTTTATATGTAGTTTTGTAGCCCTCTCCAGACTGATGCTCATCAACAGCCCTTTTTTGAGGTCTTCTGAAATCTCTTAATTGTGACATGACTTGTTTCCAGTAAGCTGTGTGGTGACAAACTTACAAAGAATCTCACCACTAAGTAATACAGGACTGCCCAAAGTCCTTGTTCAGTTGTAACTAAACTATTAAAACACTTGATTGCGCTAATGAAACTATGGTTTTGTGTATTATTTTAAATACTCTGATTCTTAATTATTAATTTTCCTTAATAAATGGAATTGGTTATTATGGAAATAATTATTAAATTATAGGATTAAATTCCTGTAATTTCACAAACTTTTTGGCACCGTAAACGTAACGTTGTCTGTGGGTTTCTGTTCATGCATGTTCTCAGTGACCTAATTGAACTAATCATTAGCTTAATTGGACCAATTTAACATTTTATAAGGTCAGCTGTTGATTATTTAAAGATATCTAGAAAACCCGCTGGATTATAGCCCTCAAGGACTGGACTTATGCACTTAATATATTTACAATTTTGTTTATTTTTATGTAGCTAAACATTTGGAGTCAGTCTTCCTTTCACAGAAAACAAGCTTTTCTACTGCCGCTGGATTGGACATAAGCAATCAAGATGTTGCACGCCTGCTAAAAAAAGTACGTAAATTAAAAAAATACAAATTTATATTTAATAAAACTAGTATAAATTCGTATTTAACTGGGAGTTTGATACTTTGTTTTTTTCACAGATGAGATTGTTAAATGAGTTCCAAAAGGAAGTGACATCATTTTGGATTCGAAACCCAGAGAAGTATGTTATCTGTACTTGTTTACCCCTGTAAAGTGGAAATTTGAGCTCTGCTGATTTTAATATTTTTTCAGTGATATGCATATAGTTGTAATGGTTGGTTTATTTTACATTCATTGTATAGAGCGAGTTGGTTTAATTTCAATGTCTTATCATCATTTTCAGAAAATAATCTGGTGAACAAGATTCATTTGAATTTCAAGATTCATTTTTAACTGTTTTCAAACTACCAAGTTTAAATATGAGTAAATATATTTTAGCAGAAATTAAATGTCTAATGCATCGTATATTTTCTTAGGTAATTTTTGTTCAAATGTATTGTTTCATTATAAATGTTTCGTATAAATTGTGTTTCCATGGATGATTAAATTGTATTAATGTTCTGACCAAGTTAAATGTTGTTTCATGTTCTTACAGTAAATCATGTAGTAAATCCCATACAAACATCATGCAGTAACTACATATAGTTGTGCAATTTTGCTTTATGTGTTAATGATTTAAGATGTGTTTTTTGTAGGTATATGGAAGAGATAATAGAGAGCACTCTGTCGCTCTTGTCATTAAATCTTGACCAGAGTCTAAAGACAACAAGCGCTGACAAGGTCCTGGAGCCCATCTACTTTCTTTCCATGCTAGACATCAAAGCTAATTGGTTTAAAAAGTGGATGGTAAGCAATGGTGAACAATAAAAAGTCAGACATTAAATTAAGTCTTATAACTATGTGAGTATATAACTATTACTGTAGCTGCTGTTGTATTGTTATTCTTAACTCAAGTAGCTCACCAATTATTGTAATACCAATAGACCAACCATATACCACTTTAAATCTAGACCATGCCAATCTGTAACTAGGTTCTGGAACAAAAGTCTTGGATTTTCAGGGGCTGTGGGCTCTTTTTACCTGTTGCTTCTGGTTTTTCACTATACCGATATATCAATGTGTGGTTTTTATACTATATTTGTTTGAGATTGCGACCATAATTCAGTGAAACAGAAGCAAAACTTTAAAGTAGATTGGGAGTTGGGTCCTAAAAAGGTAGGGAGAGTGGTAGTTATAAGAATTACTTACTGCATTACAGTCTTATCAGTCTTAACTAAAATACATATTTGTAATTAGTGTATATGAAACAGTGGCTCTTCAGCAAATGTATACATGTATAATACTGTTTTATCATAATTCAAGATCTCTAGCTTTCAAGCAGATAAAAATACAATATTTCAAGTCAAGCAACATAATAGGTCAATGAAAAAGTCAATTCATTTTGACTGGAACAAAAACCAACATGTAGGGTATGTGGATCTCCAGGACCACCTTTAGGGCGAATATTAAAGGAAATTATTTCTTTTCTATGTAATTGTATATAAACATGTTCAGTTATGTTTACATCATAGCAATTTGGGCTCCTTCTGTGTTTTATCTGTTTCCCTTTAGCATGGCTATTACAGCAGGACAGTGGTCTTGAGACTCCTTGAAAATAAGTACAAGTCTTTGGTGAGTATTCCTTAAGGCATTCTGTATCATACAATATTACCTGAATTTTCTGATTAATGAGAAGATGAAGAGTGAAAATGATTACAGGTGACAAATGGACCTGAAAATTAGATGGTATTTAACTGTATCATTAATTTTGTCCATGACTGGCAAAGTAAAAATTGTAACTCCCATATAATACAACATGCAGTAACTATCAAAACGGGCTAGGTATGTAAACCTTGTCAGAAATTATTTGTAATCTCATAGTAAGAAACATACAGTAAACTTTGTCATAGGCTATTTGTGCTGTCCAACCCTTAATGACCACTGTTATTGTGATTAGTTTCTAAAAAGGTGCCTTATTGAAAGCTAAGTAACAGAGGCTTTTTCAGGGGGTATTAAGTATTTTGGACTCCCATCAATATTTTTCTTTCTATATCAATACCTATTTGATATCTTTTTTGTGAGTTCTATTTTTTGCTGTCCCTTACTCTTTAAATTTCTGTTGGGCATGTTAATTCTGTTAATTGCATTGAACTGTCTGCAAAGATATTAACACATTCTTCTAAACTTGAGAGAAAGCATTCACAGCATGTGCAATGTGCATAACACCCTATATGATCTGATGAGAAAAGTGTTTGAATGATCCTACTGAGAGGACATGGAAAAAAGAAAATCGAACAAAAATATATTAATACTGTATGGAAACTGGTGAGCTCAATTCATTTTTTCAATTTAACAGATTGTTGCATCTCTTCAGCAATGCATTAATTATTATGAATCCTGTGAGTCTTCTTGTGATAAGACATCCAACATTGCACATGTGAGGCAACAACAGCAGACAGGTATGTATTAACCTTCATATCTGTTATCCTACACTAACATCCCTTTTTAATTGATCTTTAAACTGTTTCAGGTGAAATTATATTTTCTTTTCAAAATGTGTATATGTAAGAATATGTAATTAGCTTATCCGCCCCTTTGCCTCATAGGCCTGCTCTGCTCTGTCATTCCCCCACACTTAAATAACTTAATAAAAACAGCTGAAACACTGTTTTTTCAGCATGAAATTAACCTCTGCTTCTTTCTGTGTAAGACATAGCCTACTACATTCCTGGGTTGTGACTTTTAAAGCAAGAATTACGAACTTTTATATATGAAATGCAATTAAATGATTTAATGATTCAGTTCAATTTGATTAGAGCAGCTTAGAAGAATATGTTCCCCTGTATCCTTTTGTAGTTACTTAATTCAGTTAAACCATATATCCATCACACTTCAGCACCATTGTGAAAGTGTGGCTCATTGTTTATATGAATCCTGTGCTGTGCTCTGCTGTACCAGGATCAGGATATAACCAATAAAGATACAAAGAGACAGTTAATACTCAAGCTACACTAAGTTCAGGGTTCCCTAGTTTCATCAGTTAGAAAATTACTTTCGATACTTCAAAAGCTTTGCCTTGGGAATAGAAACGGTAGGGTAATACAAGCACGATATCAGCCCCGTGCTTTTAATTTGCTCTCTACAGGTTCTATTAATAATGTAGCAGAGAGGGACAGAGATTGGAACAATCGGTGTTCTAAATATTGCTGCCTTTTAATTGCATTGTCATCCTGCTTAAGTTTCTGTCCACATAAGAATAATTAGAAAATGGTTTGCAAATAAGTTGGGGGAGATATCAGGAAATCTTAATTTTTTATCAAAAAGCAAGAAGCATGCCAAGTACAGTACATCTTGTTGTACAGTGCTTTTAAAAAGAAGGAATTATGCTCACCTAAGCTATGAGTAAGCGTTTAAAAGAGCTATAAACTATAGATGCGTGTAAGAATTAAAAAAAATAATAATTAAATAAAAAATATCTAGTGCATTTATCCATATGTGTGTTTATATTGTTGCCTTTCCTTAAGGGACCACCCAGAGGATGTTTTACACAGCCAGACAGTTAGAATATACATATTTTGTTCATTCAGTCTGTCTGCTGGGAAGGCTGCTTATGTACACTCACGGGAGAAAACTTTTCCCCATAAAACTGAAAAGAAGAAAAGGTAAGAAAACAGTAACAACTTTGGTTTACTTTGCTCTCTGCATATGTAGTTATATTACCTCATTTTTGGATCTGAAAGTTTTCGACCTGTGTTGTCTTCTTTTGGATTGTGCTTTAATAGGCAAACCGCTTCAATAAAGAATGCGCGGCCAGTTGTTTAAAACATTTTCTATAAATACTTTAAGTATTAAATGTGAAATACCAGAGACCTTAATGTGGAGGTTTTGTGTTATGATGTGTAAAAAAATGTAAAATATTTTTTTCAGGGTGTTAGACAACAGAACCTGTTGGTGTGGAAACTGTCTGTAGAGTTTCCATAGGTACTGTATGTACAGAGGCAGCAATGTAGGTTTATTTGCCACCTTCCCTAAACCAATGCCCTGTGTTGTTGAATTATAAATAGTGTACGCACATTTGTGAAATAAACATTTTTAATCAAAACCTGAATCTTCACAAAATCTTGTGGATGAAAGAAGTCAAATGATATCAAAAACTGCAAAGAAAAATCGAAAACTAAAATATGTTAATTTCAACATGTAGTCTTCCTGTCTGTGCTTTGTGGAGGCACATTTGGCAGCAATTACACTTTAAACTTTAAAGTGTTTTTGGATAAGTCTCTGCCAACTTTGTGTAGCAGGATGATGCAGTTTTCTTTTCTCTTCGCAAACTTGCTAAAGCTAAGCCTATTTGGTTGAAGATCATTAATTTATGGCAATTTTCAAGTCTTGCCATTTTCTGATTTTTTATCGGACTCAATTCAGGCTTCTAGGGACACTCAAAGCCATTCAGTTCTTGTTAAGCCTTCCACGGTCTCCTTTATTGTTATTGTTGTATTGTTGTAATTATAATTGTGTCCTATCTTGTGAAATCTTTTTATTTATTGTTATTATCATCCTGTAAAGCACTTTGAGAAGCCACCTTTAAAGGCGCTATATAAAATAAAGTTTATTATTACTTTTTTATTAAGCCATTCCACTGTAGCTTCGGCCTTATGCTTTACATCGTTGTCTGCTGACAGGGGAGTTTTTTAATCCAGGTTTTAGATGCTTTAAATAAATTAATTTTATGAAAATAATGTTGTACTTGACATCTGAAAAAAAATACCTGGAATCCGTGAATGCCCAGAAAATTCTGTATTTCAGAAAAAAGTACATTATCTCTTATATGTATTAAAACTATTTTTATTGACAGATCCAGTGACTCTGACAGACCTGATAGTGATTCTAATCAGAATAATGTACAGACATCCAATTCCATATTACAGTGAAATCCCACATGTTGGTAAGCTGTTGTCTAAGCATACCTACAGTATATTCAACCTAATCGTAAAATTAAAGTAAAAGTCGTTTTAATGACTGAAAACTTATTTTTATTATGTTAACTGAAGAGTTTGTACTTATGTTCCTTGTGGAAAGCTACTAAACACATGTAAGTTAAATAAAACAGGTACAAAGCAAATTTGCCAAGAAGAAAAATCAGATCCCCCTATTTTTTAGGAAAAGACAGTTTTATTAGTACATTTTGTATTTAAGTATTGAATATTTATCTTAATAACAAGATGTATTTTTTTTGTTGTAATGTATTATTGTTTGGTACTTACAATAGGTATAAACCCTGCACCTTTCAATGGTAGTTACTTGATTGATGTATTTGAAAGTCGAATAAATTGAATTTTTTGCACTTTAAACATAAAGACTGACCTATTTTAACGATGACTGCCCTGTCAGTACTAGAGCAGCTATATGAAAATCTGTTACCGACACACTAGAAAAAGTCCATAGCAATCTTAGGTAAAAGAAAGTTTTTGGTTTGTTAGGTATACAGTGAAAAATATCCTAATCATCCCTGATATTTTACTTATCATATACACAAACACTTTTAATTAAGAAAAAATAATTGTTGTACTACTGTCTTGGATAAAGAGGTCAGAAAATGAATGGATGAAATTGTTGAATTAAATTATTTTCCTTCAATTTGTGTCTTGAAGATGCTGAATTATGTTCACTAATGTTTTATTTGTAGATTCCCTTTCACCAGCATGCCTTGTGATGGATGTTCTGAGAACTCTCTGTGACCGTAAAGAGTGTGCAGTGGAGTGCTTGTATGCTATTGCTGTCATTGAACTGCTTTTGTCTCCCATCATTGCCCTACTCAAAGGAAAGCAGGTAAGAAGAAAAGTCTGTTTATCTGTTGTCAAAGATTTGAAAACAACAATGGAAGTACAGAGGTACCATGGAGGAACCCAAAAGGGTTGGATCGTTTTCACTGTGATCCTTGATTTACCCGAAATAGATAAATATTGTGAAGAATGCACTCAGTACATTGATAAAGATGTTGGGCCCGATATTGTTCATCTGGAAGGACTTCACACAGAAGTTGTTCATTTCCACCATGGAGTTGGGGCGAGTGGCTTGCAATAAGAGGATTGTTTTGGATCAAAATGGCACCCAGCACAACCAAAATGTGGTGAAATTAGTTTTATGGGAAATTACATTTTCAGGCCATTCATGAGCCACTATCATACCCTTTATCATTCAGTTTAATGCAGTAATTGGACATTCAGCAAATAGGGAAGAGAAAACCCCCCGATGACGCTGTGCTTTGTGTGTCCTGCAGTGGTGCTGAGGATGTACTGTATAATTGGTGCTGCAGGTAGACCAAGTACATGTCTTGCAGATAAACCAGAGAGCACTTGAACACGGGCTTTGTCCACAGGAGGCAGAAGGAAAGAAAACGCATACATCTGGCCACTCACAGCAAAAAGTGGATAATCAGCGCTAGAATTAATACACATTCTTGACATATTTGTTACAATGTTAGTAAAGTTTACATTTATATTATTGCTTAACTGCCATTTTTATGCATGGCTATTTTTGTTTTCTGTTTTCGAGTATGTGCTGCATTCATGTTTAAACATTATATCAAACTACCACAAAGCTTTTACACTAATAATCACATAACAATTTGATTTATTACAAGTAATACATATATTTGTTTTTTTCAATTAAATTTAAATAAATAAAATAAATTTCTACAGATCTGATTCAAATCTGTAAAGATTCAATTGAAAACTTTGTTACATGTGAAGGATGCTGAATGTCTGTAACAGCTGCAAAAGAAGAAACACAAAGTGAAATGTACTGATTGTGTATGTACTGTACTCAGGCTTTGGCAGGAGTTGATGCTTCTAGTATTTTTGAATACTGTGTCATTATTTTGGCGGTCTAAACCAGTTGTGCACAGTGCAAAGTTGTAATTTTTTCTTTTCTTCCTGAAAATACTGCTCCAATTCAGACAAGTTCATTAAGAACATTCACCCCCTTTTCGTGTCAGACCTCTCCAGTTGGCTTTGTACTTCAAGTCTTTGTCCATCTGAAATGTGAATTTTCCAACCCGTTACAGATTTTCTGGGGACTCAAACATGTTTTCCTTTAAGATTTTCATGTACTTTGCTTACGGTCCATTTTTCCTCTTATTGCTGTTAACTGTCCCAGTCCCTGCTAATGAGAAACATCCCCATCATGCTGCCACCACCATGGTTAACAGTCTGACTGCTGGTGACTGGGGTGGTGCTGACTGGGAGATGTGCAGTATTGGGTTTGTACCAGACATAATGCTGAGCATTTAAAGAAAACAAATCTTGACTGACCACAAAACCTTCTGGCGTGTGTCTGCAGTATATCTCTTGTGAGATTTAACACAAATATTTTTCAGTAAAGGCTTGATTCTTGCTACTCACCCACACAGCTCAGTTTTGTGTTTGTGATCAGAATATCGTCGATGTATGAATACTGACTCCCATCTGGGAGACAGAACTTTGCAAATCTATCAGAGTCACTGTTGGCTTCACAGTGGCATTCCTAACCAGCTCTCTGCTTGTCTGGCTACTTAGTTTGGAAGGAAGGTCTGATGGGCATTCTCTTCTTAATGATGAACTTCACTAAAAGGGATATTGTAACCTTCTCCTGACCTGTGCCTCTCTGCCACTTTATCCCCGATGAGTTTCTAAAGCTCCTTGGTGTTCATGGTTGATTTGACATATCACTATGTGAGTTGTGGCATAAAGTTCAATATCTGTCTCAGGAAACATAAAGATGCATAAACAGATGCATGTACTATGAAGTCAAGTTAAATCACATTGATTGCACAGAGAAACCATTTCACTAATTTCTATCTTTCAAACTATTCATCTGGTAGGGTGGCACAGTGGTCAGCATTGTTGCCTTGCAGCACTGGGGCCCTGGGTTCATTTCCTGGGGTGCTCTCTGTGTGGAGTTTGGGGAGAACATGGTTCTTCCTGTGTTTGCATGGATTTCCTCCAGGTGCTCCGGTTTCCTCCCACATTCCGAACACATACTAGTAGGTTAATGGGCTTGTGGGAAAGCTGGTCCCACTGTGAGTGTGTGCCCTGCAAAGTACTGGGTTCTGTCCAGGGTGCATCCTTGCTAGGACAAACACCGGCTCCACCATGAGGCTGTGTTGGACAAAGCAGTTAGAAAATGGATGGATGGAACTATTCATTTGCACCTCAACTGATTTAGGTTTGTTGTAGAAAAGGGTCTTCATACTAAGTGTTTTTACGTTTCTTGAATTTATTTGCTTTCTAAATATATCAAATTCTAATATAAATCCTATATGTGCAAGTTCTACATATAACACATACAGTCAATACAATATGCACAAGTGCCGTGTTTTCCACCTAACGTTTTGTGAACTGTCTGTTGTGTCGCTCTGCTATGTTTTCTTCTTATGTTCTTGATTTTTTTTTAAATTTTAGTGTCTGCTCAACACTGTTATAGTCCATTTGGTGCCCTAGAGATTTAAATATGAAATGGATACCCAACAATGGCTTTTATAACTCAATAATGGCTTTTATATGTAAAACATAACTTACAGACAATTTTACAACTTTTATTAGAAATTACATTGTTGCTGATGGACATGATATGTGCTACTTTCTGGTGTCTGTGTACACTGCAACATGCAGTATTTCCCATCTGCGTCCCTTCTTGGTAAGGGAAGTAATGAATGAGTAAAGAATGCTACTGTTCTTTAGAATAACAATAATGCAGTATAATTATTTGCATTTAGGTTACATGCTTCAAAGAACTGTGTGGTTTGTGAAGCTAATGGAGGTTTAAGGTAAACATGATTTGGAATGCTGGGAATAAGATTGCTATTGTGAATCAGTTGCACTTTCAGGTTTAAAAAACTATAGACTTGTGCAAATTATATTGTTGAAGAAAGTGTGAGTTTACATATGTACTCTAAACAGTGTTGCACAATAGTACATCAGGAAATAACCAAACAGTATGAGACACTTGAGTTCTTTTTATTCTTCACTACATCTGTAGTCATAGAGTAATTACTCTTGCTCAGACTTTGATAAACAAGTCTTTATTAACAATAAATAAGACAACTGTACAGTACACAGAGTTACACACCATATGTTTGTAACACTTAATCGCATGCAGTATGTAAGATATTTTCCCATATGTTAGTGTTTTGTCCAGTGATCAAAATCTGGTCTATTGTTTCATAAGTGTGATGCTAACCCAATTGGAAATGTATAATTATTACAGAATCCTACATCCTACAGGCCTTGAAGTCCAGAATCCTGTTCCCGAAATCAAAATACACAATACACATTTTTGCAGGCCAGAGAAAAAAAAGAAACCTCTTGTATCTTATAGACATGGATTTGACTCAGAACAAAATTTTGTTTCTTAAAACATAGATGCCCAAAAGTGAATGGGAATCAATCATCCTGTTCTAACAATGTACCACCAAAGTAGAGGAGACCATTTTTAGCCTGAGGATTCCACAGTAAAGGAAGTTAGAATTTCCTAAAATAAATGAGATGGCATGGATGGAATATCTATAATAATCCTCAGTTTACTTAATCAGAATGTGGTCTCCAAGGCTGGTCAGAACAAGGATTTATATCGCGGACAAGCTGTAGAATAACAGGCTGATGATGAGGTTCATGTTCCTTCCCTTCTCTCTTTCTGTCTCCTTCTGTCTCCTTTCTTTACTCTGCCTTGCCTCTGTATTTATGCCGTGTTCAATTGCTGTTGAATATTTATTCTCCAATATGTTGGTCTGAGTGCTTCACAGTGAAGTTTAATTGCCTCTTAGTCTACACACAGCTAAGTGAACACCTCAAAATAATTTTATTGCATAAGACATTTTGAAACAAATTATATCTAAATTTTGCTACACCCTGGTCATAACAATAGCAACACACATGAAACACCTTGCCTTAAGAGCCTGAAGTTTGGAAACCTTAAAATGGATGAAACTGCAGTGAAATGTGTGATATTTTTTTCATACCTACTGTTTGAACCAGACTGAGTTTTTCACATTAATGTATAATAAAATACATAATGTATTTTATTATATCTTTTTATTATATTTTTATTAAAGATATTATTTTCCAGAATATTTGAAGGTACTGTGTATGATTTATATGTGCAATAATATATGCAATATAAAATTTTCTTCCCACAATTTATTTCATTGCATCTCTGTATCACAGGTGAATTTAACCTCCCCTGAGACAACATTGACTCACATAGCTGATATATTGGCAAGAATTGCAACTACCGAACGGGGACTTTCCCTTTTCCTATACGATGGAAACTTCATTTACACTGAAGGAGAAGGGTAAGAGAATTGTTTTCATTTTGTACCAGTGAACACGTGATTTTGCTTAAAGGCTTTGAAAATGGGAATTGAATACATGCCAAGCTAAAGCCTGCAAGGTGTCCGTGTGGCATAAACATGTTAAATCGGTGGGAAAAAAACAACAGTTTCGGGCTCTAGCCTTACTACTATGTGTGGCTTGTTTTAAATGTGACGAACGAATGTCTTTTCGCTTAAAGGTTGATGCACACTACAGAGCATCATCCATTAAATGTAGTTATAATTCTTAGTCTTTGTTACATTTTAATAAAGAAATTTAATTGGATCTGAAAAGATTATATGAAGGAAAAAAAAAGCCATACTGACATTTCCGTACTCTTGGAAGAAGAGCACCCGAAGAAGGCTTCACAGACAAAACGTGTTTCTTTTCTTCTCTTTCCAGCATGGAATAAACCTTTACTTTTTTCTTTGCAGCCTGCGCATGCTGACGCACCTACCTTCTTGTACTCTCTTTCAACTCTTAATGATTGTCAGTCCCAGAGACATCAGATTGTCTCAGGGTGTTTTGTTCATTTACAATTAGCTCCAGTTATGCAGCTGTTAAAAATGATTTTGCACAGGACATGTATTCCTATTTAACTGGTCTTGTAGTGTAGGTGAATTTAATCAACAAATTTATTTGGTGTCCAGTAGATGTAGAGTTATGCTTTTCAGTGGTTTTGAAATCCATGTACTGCATGTAAAAAATGAGTGATGTGGGTGGGGTTTGAAATGTGACTAAACTGATACAAAGGATCAAAATCAGGCAATTGGCATTAATTGTTATTGTATTTATTTTTAAATGTGATTTTTTACATCATTATTCTGAAGAAATGTCTGTGGTAGTGTATATTTTCTTGAGCCCTCCAATTAAAAGAAGAAAGATTTATTATTTTTATTTTCATGAACTCTGAATTTACAACTTTTTCTTCTTATTCTTTTTTTCTTCTTTTTTGCATGTAGCATTTCAGCAGCACATGTGATTGTTCAGTTTACCAAAAAGCTACTTGCTGATAAGATCTCTGTTTTGTCGGAAGCTGGGCCATTAACCAGCTTGAAAGGAGCCTTCATCTTTGTCTGCCGTCAGATGTACAACACATGTGAGGGACTTCAGGTGCTCAAACCATACGGCCTCCACGACTGCATAGCTGAAGCTTGGAAACAGGTGCCTCTCTTTTCAGTAGTACTGTAAAAAAATAAACATCTCTGTGGAGTTTTTGAATGTTGCAAATATTTTAATATTTAAAAGAAGAATATCCAGTGCATTGCAAATGTATTCACTCCCTTCCAATTCTGTCCCATTTTGTTGCACTACAAATGATACAGTATGTGTATTCACATTTTTAATGTGACTATTTTTAATCAAAACTTGAATGCTCCAACTGAACTTTTTCATATATGCCAAAAGATAGACGACAGCAAAAACTGTGAACAGAATAAAAAATTCAAATGTAGCAAATGGAATATCTTTGGAAATGAATGAATACTTTTACAAGGCACTGTGAGTTCTGTAAAGTCTGGGTCAAGCAGTACATTATTTGCACCCTGGAATGCAATTTAGGAAAAATGGCTTGATCAAGGTTTCAGAACCACGGGAATCAGCACTGGTTGATATAGTATTTAGGTGTTGATTCATTAATATATATTTGAAGAGCTTTGGATGATGGCATAATGTGAATTAGAGTTATACAAGCCATTGTTGGGTATCCATTTCATATTTAAATCTCTAGGGCACCAAATGGACTATAACAGTGTTGAGCAGACACTGAAATTTAAAAAAAAATCAAGAACATAAGAAGAAAACAAAGCAGAGCGACACAACAGACAGTTCACAAAACTTTAGGTGGAAAACACGGCACTTGTGCATATTGTATTGACTGTATGTGCTATATGTAGAACTTGGGCATATAGGATTTATATTAGAATTTGATATATTTAGAAAGCAAATAAATTCAAGAAACGTAAAAACACTTAGTATGAAGACCCTTTTCTACAACAAACCTAAATCAGTTGAGTTGCAAATGAATAGTTCCATTCATCCATTTTCTAACTGCTTTGTCCAACACAGCCTCATGGTGGAGCCGGTGTTTGTCCTAGCAAGGATGCACCCTGGACAGAACCCAGTACTTTGCAGGGCACACACTCACAGCGGGACCAGTTTTCCCACAAGCCCATTAACCTACTAGTATGTGTTCGGAATGTGGGAGGATACCGGAGCACCTGGAGGAAATCTATGCAAACACAGGAAGAACCATGTTCTCCCCAAACTCTACACAGAGAGCACCCCAGGAAATGAACCCAGGGCCCCAGTGCTGCAAGGCAACAATGCTGACCACTGTGCCACCCCACCAGATGAATAGTTTGAAAGATAGAAATTAGTGAAATGGTTTCTCTGTGCAATCAATGTGATTTAACTTGACTTCATAGTACATGCATCTGTTTATGCATCTTTATGTTTCCTGAGACAGATATTGAACTTTATGCCACAACTCACATAGTGATATGTCAAATCAACCATGAACACCAAGGAGCTTTAGAAACTCATCGGGGATAAAGTGGCAGAGAGGCACAGGTCAGGAGAAGGTTACAATATCCCTTTTAGTGAAGTTCATCATTAAGAAGGGAATGCCCATCAGACCTTCCTTCCAAACTAAGTAGCCAGGCAAGCAGAGAGCTGGTTAGGAATGCCACTGTGAAGCCAACAGTGACTCTGATAGATTTGCAAAGTTCTGTCTCCCAGATGGGAGTCAGTATTCATACATTGACGATATTCTGATCACAAACACAAAACTGAGCTGTGTGGGTGAGTAGCAAGAATCAAGCCTTTACTGAAAAATATTTGTGTTAAATCTCACAAGAGATATACTGCAGACACACGCCAGAAAGTTTTGTGGTCAGTCAAGTTTTTTTTTCTATAAATGCTCAGCATTACCCTGGTGGTGGCAGCATGATGGGGATGTTTCTCATTAGCAGGGACTGAGACAGTTATCAGGAATAAGATTAAAAATGGACCGTAAGCAAAGTATGTGAAAATCTTAAAGGAAAACGTGCTTGAGTCCCCCCAAAAAATCTGTAATGGGTTGGAAAATTCACATTTCAGATGGACAATGACCTGAAGTACAAAGCCTGGAGTACTGGAGAGGTCTGACAGGAAAAGGGGGTGAATGTCCTTGGCTAGCACTGTCAGAGCCTTGACTTTAATCCAGTAGAACATTTTTGAAGGCTGGATGATTGCAGTTGATCAGCTGTCCCTAATGAACTTGTCTGAACTGGAGCGATATTGCCAGGAAGAAAGGAAAGAATTGTACCTTTCGACTGTGCACAACTCGTTCAGACCTCCTAAATATCAGCACAGTGCAGAACTGGTACAGTATTCAAAATAATAAAAGCAGTAACTGCTGCATAAGTACTTCCATGAAATACTGACTCAGGAAGCCAAGTACTTAAGCAATCAGTAACTTTTACTTTGTGTTTCTTCTGTTTTAGATTTGCAGACATTCAGCCTCCTCCAAAAATACCATAGTTCAGGTCAATCTTTACAATTCTTAATAAAATATTAAGTTGAAACTTATATACATTGCTTGTAATTCATTGAAAAGGGATATTATGGAGAGGGATGAATGCTTTCCCAAGGTGCTGTAGCAGGTTTATCTGTCTAGCCACCGTGCTGCCAAACAATAATTTATCCAGCTTACTATGAAAAATGTACATTATGTACAATGTACTATGAAAGTGTACTATTTTTTATTTCACTATTTAATTTAAAACAAAAAGGATCATATTAAACAATTACTTACAATTATTTTTTGTTTTGGAATATTTAAAAATGTTTTTGTTTTGTTACAACTTTTTTAAAAATTATGTTTTGAATTCTGAATATTGAAATATTCAGCCTCACTTTCCATTTCTATCCCAGAGTTTCCAGCTCATTCTGGCTCAGTTCTGACCACTGCCTTTCTCCCAGTAATCTGTACATACAGTACATCAGCTAGGCCTGCAATGATGCAAGTTTGAGGGTTTGTCAGAATGGTTTCACCCGATTGTACCATGAAAATATAAGTCACAGCTTCAACAGTGTGATGGAAATAGATTCTTTGAAAACAATAATTGCCGGCTGATATGGGAAATTTATATTTTCCATTCACTTTGCTGCTAAGGTATTCCTCTGTTCATAAGAAGAATCTTAGTTTAGAAAGGGAAGGGTAAATGGAATACCAAGTTAAAGAATGACCACAATGAAATTTAACTTTTTGATTTGTTTAAAGTGAAACCATTTCAACACATCAGAGCTCTTGTTTAATGTTAATGTAAAATATTTGGCCTTATATTTGATTTGCTTTCGTTTTCAGACAGTTTCCTTGTCAGAAAGAGTTCCAACTCCAGTTCCAGGAGATTGTTCAAGTTCAGCTACTCAGGATTCACAAAATAAGTGAGTAAAGCAGCACAATGGAAAACACACCAGCCTGAACCAAAAAATAAATATAATAAACACATGAAGCATTTTTAGTATAAAGAGTTGTAATGTATATTTAAGACTGAATTCTAGTTGGAATGTGTAATTTGCTAAATGAATGCGGATTTGGTTGTAATTGTTTGCATATTTATTCAATTAGCATGGTCTGGGAAGAGACTTTACTGGACAATCTCTTAAATTTTGCTGCAACCCCAAAGGGGCTTCTGCTCCTTCAGCAGACTGGAGCCATCAATGAATGCGTCACCTATATGTTCAGCAGATTCACGAAAAAGCTGCAGGTAACTTGTTCTGGCTGTAATTCACTCCTTGTTTCTGATTATTTGGGCTAATTTCTTGGCCATTGGCTTGTCTCCTTTTACACAAAGATTTTTGAAATTCTTGATATGCTTGTAATATACACGCTCTTGTTAATTACAATGTGGTAATTTAACTTAAATATTTAATTCACACCATGTACAGTGCCTTGCAAAAGTATTCACCCCCTTTGGACGTTTTCACATTTTAACATGTTACAATGATGTATTTAACTGAGACTTTTTGCCACTCATCAACACAAAGTACTCTATAATGTCAAAGTGGAAAAACAAATCCAGACATTTTACTAAATTAATAAAAAATAAAAAACAGAAAATAATTGAATGCATAAGTATTATCCCCCCCTCCCACCCCAGAGTTAATACTTATGGTATTCCATGCTGTGACACAATAAAATGTGAAAATGTCCAAGGGGGGTGAATACTTTTGCAAGGCACTGTATTCTTTGTAAAGAACCTTGTGCTTATTGGTTTAAAAATTTTAATTCCACATTGAAAAGGAGACAGAAAAGCAACAGAATGGCTTTGGATGCCTTCAAGTGTGTCAGCTTCCTCCTCCTTTCTCCCTCAGACCTGCAGAAGGCTTCTTCATCGAAATGTTTCTTCTTCTGTTTTCAGCTCACATGCAGGCATGATATTGTATCGCATATTAAGTGGTACATTTACTTTTCAGAAAGTCAGGGAGTCATTACATATTATCTTTGTTACAGTGTATCTTAGTATATTACTAAGAAAACAAGTGGTTTCCAAGTTGTCTTTGATAATAAGTTCATCTTTCTGTTGTTAAACCCAGTAAACATTACAGTATCCACTCACAGATTCATCCATGGACACTGGCAAAACTTTTTTTCATTGAATCTTGGCACTGGCAAGACCCTCATACTTTTTTAAGAGTAAAATCACTGCTCGTAAGTCATATTGATCCACTTCAGTTTACTCATAGTAAATAATTTTCTTCCAAGTGGATTGCAATAATCTGCCTAGGAAAATATACTGGCTCTGAAATACAAAAAAGCATTTTGAGCTTTTGTCTGATTTACTGAGTTAATTAGGATAAATACACTTCATTTGTATATATCTAGTGGTATACCATTTACAGGAGATATTCCAATTTGCACAGCAGACATGCTTTGGTTACAATAACCAGTAAAAAACCTGTCTTAGGTAATGGAGGTGAATGCACTAAGCTCTTCCTGTAATGTTTGGACATTAAGCTGACATTCAGTCACAAAGTTTGGTTTCTTCATATGTAGAGTCTGTCTGTCTATATGTGTGAAAGTTATGTCCCCGAGTTCTAACATAATAATGTTTCATTACTAATTTGAATTAATAAGATGATTTACTGACCATTACCAGTAAAATGTAAGGAACAAATAAACAATTGTGTGACCATTTTAAAGCCATTTGAATTCTTACCCTTTTTCCCCACAACTGCCACAAGTCCTGTTGTCTTCTCTGTACCAAATGAATCCATCTTTATGCAAAATAAATAGCATACATCGTAAGAACATAAAAGATTACAAACCATCACAGGCCAGTTAGCACTGAGCCAACCTAACTTGCCTGGCTTTGAAATCACTAGGTGTCTTTCTCTTTGGCAACTGTCTAGCTCTCTAAAGCCGTATAAACGGGCTGAAGCTTTGTTTTAGGTGAAATAGTAAACATGACTAATGTATCCCACTAGTCTCCATAATACAGACTTTTTTGAAACTTCTAATTTGAGTTGTTATTTGATAGATTTGTTAAAGGAAATCCTATGCAGGTAGACACACCAAGTTATGATTTTTTTCAAAGCAGTTTTTTCTCTCAGATGTAACGATTATGTGAACAGTCATCTACTACGGTTGTATTGGCATTGCTGCGATTACATGATTACTTGCTTAAAACATGACGTTTACAGTATTTTTTTAATTTCAGGTCAGCAGATGTGAGAAATTTGGTTATGGAGTGATGGTTACACAAGTAGCAGCAACGGCTCCTGGAGTGGCAGCAATCTGGAGTTCAGGTAAATATTTCAATTTAATTGCCACAGCTAACGTTATCTTTATTCTTTTTGAGAAACTGCGAATATGCAGTATGCAGTACATACGAACAAGTAATAGTTTTATTCCATGCTGAAAAGAGAAAAAAGAAAACACAACGTATCGGCCGTGGAGCCTTCTTCAGGTGTGAGCTGAGTCTTCAGGTGTGACCCTCACACATGAAGAATGCTCCATGGCCGAAACGTTGTGTTTTCTTTCTTCTCTTTTCAGCATGGAATAAACCTATTACTTGTTCCTTTGCAGCCTACGCATGCTGACACAGCTTCCCACCTGAACTAATACAGTACATACTGCATATATACAGACACCCCCCCACACAACACTTTTAAGATAACATTAGAAAGCAGAACTATCTTAACAGACTGATAAGAGACAGTGATTAGATAGTGATTCTCATGATTTCAGAATGAAAACACCTTTCCTTGAGGTTCCTCAGTCAAGTAGTTTATATACAATATATAAAATCAAGGTTCTCAGCTATGGACATCCATTTGTCCCTAATTAGGGTTGATTCATGTGGCATAGTTGCATTAGAAATTGATGTTTTTTACATTACATTTTGGAACACCTTTCAGGTTTTTGGTGCATATTGGGAGCTAGCACTCTCTGTGAGTTTTCGGAATGTGAATTTTAATTAGCTCTTTCAATTTCACAATGCTAGAAAGCAGAACAGAAATATTCAACTTGCATTTCACTAACATTGTGAAACAACCAAAGTCACTTATTATTCATATTCCCATAACTCATAGCAGATGTTTGATCATAAACAACATGACAACCCTGAAGGGTGTTCCTTGTAATATATATAATATACTCTGTATAAAGTACTGTAGCTGCAAGAAGTTTGACTGGCAAAAGACATATCTGTGACTTATTGGTAAATTAAACCTGAGTGTTTAGAAGTTTACTTGCTCTTGCTTGCTGATCACAAGTGTTATATTTATACATCGTTGCTGGAAGCAGGGTTGTTACTAAAAACGTCTCTCATAGCGAGAAAAAAAGACATTGTTCATGTCTTACATAGATCCTTCAGCAAGAAGATTTCTCTTCACTTTGTGTACCATTGTTATGGTATTTGCTGTTTTTTATATTTTGTCATTTCTTGAGAGTGATATTTGTAATTATGTCACAAAGCATTCTTCAAGAGATGTTTTAGTTAATTAAATTAGAAAATAAATATTGGTTATTTGTACCTGATGCAGAAGTGTCACTTTTATAAGTGCCACTTGTATTTTAAGTACTCAGATCCATTCAATGAACTTAAATTTACATTTATTTTTGGAACCCCAGGAATATATGAAATCAAGTTTTGCTAATTGGCTTTTGCTTGTATTTTGTTACAGTTTTCAAAAAAATATTTAGGAATGAACACAATGCTTTTCAACCTATCTATATTTCTTTCTCTATCAGTAAAATGTTACTTCAGTTTCTGACTGCATGTAAATATGCAGATGAACAATAGACAATGGGACAATGTGCCATTTTGTAACACATACAGTCAATTAAAAAAAATCAACAAGTATTCAAACCCTTGCATATTTTTTCACATTTTGTTGATCTATAAACTGCAGTCGGAATGCTTGAAGTAACACTCTTTGCATTTGTTGATGTGGCAATTAATAATTGTTATATACTGTATATATAGCGTGCTTCACACATTCATGGCAAAAACAAAAAGAAAGGACTAAAAGTAAGTAAAAACCTTAGTTTGTTTTTGTAATTGCTAAATCATATGTTTTATAAATACTATGTAGTAGTAATTTATCTTGTATTTGTTCTTTCGTGCCAGGGTTTGTCCAAGCAATTGTTTTGGAATTATGGTCTGTTCTTGAATGTGGAAGAGATGAGGTGAGGATGATTCATCCAAAATCCACTCCAATGGATCCTATTGATAGAAGCTGTCAAAAGGTACAAGAAGTACTGAGTGTTGATGTGGTTTCAATCAAGAGACTCATTGTAGGTTGCAGGAGATTTCTTTTTATGTCTGTGTATAACTGCTGTGGCAGAGAACCAGCCCAGAGATGATTTTGGGATTTGGAGGATATTTTTTCTTCTTCTTTCATACAAAACAGTACATTTCAAGAATTTCAATCTCAGTGCATTATCTAGTTTTTTGTCTATATTAACAACGTATTATGCATGTTCTAGTGAATACGAATACATTCAGTCTGTATTTGAACATATTTTCAGTATTCCCTTTCTTCCAAACCAAGCATTATTTTTTGGTATTCATAAAATAATATGAGTTTGTAATATATTTATTTGTGTAAAAAACACAGTGTTGCTTCATCTGATTTGAAACAGATGAAGTAGCACTGTCTTTCAAAACAAGCCCAAACAAGCTCATCTCTAGTCAGAGGGAAGAGAGAAGAGGCGTTTATACAAATATAACAAGTAATTATTTAAAAAACTAAATAATACATGTGTACTTTAATTGGTAAACCACAGTTGACCTGCAGCATACTGCTCAGGGTACTAGATGTGTTTTATTAAATTTCATTAAATTGGAGTGGATAAAATTCAGACTCTGTCAAATGACGTGCATATACATTGGCATCAAACACCAGAACTGCTCCTGCAAACACTTGTAAGGTATAATTTTGTGTGATGATAAAAGCTTGCTTTCAAAGAAAACCGTGCCAGAATGCATTCCGAAGTTCTTGAAAGGTGTAGGTGATTTTCCTGATAAAAACCAACCCTTAGCATGACTGGGTGCGGGCCTGCCATGATGTGTGTGGAGCTCTCTGCTGCTCTGTGGTACCTGGGATTACACTCTAGAGTGCTGCGCTTAGCACTGTCACATCCTCATTACACGGCGCTCGTTGTAGCTTGTCTGATTTTTACTTTAGGGGTCCTTTTCTGAGAAATGCAGAGAGTCAGGGACAGCGTTGTAGTGTTTTGTTATTCTTATTGATTTTGTTTTTGAAAGACTAAAATCAATAGAAAGTACAGTAGTTCTTCCAAGTAAATAAAATATTCATATTGTGAATTCTTCTTCATCCCCAGTCATTTCTTGCTCTGGTCAATCTGCTGTCTTCTTACTCTGCTGTATACGAGCTACTTGTTAAGCAGGAGCTTCCAAACAAGCCTGAATACCCCCTGCGAGAGATGCCCACCTCCATCATTGTGAGTTGCATGGAATAGTAAATGCTTTTATGGTTATTTTTGTAGATAAGTAGTTTACATTTGTTCATCTATTGTTTTCTCTACAAAAAATTAAATTATAGTAGGTATAAATTTATAGTTAAATTGTTTTTTTTTTATTTACAGTTAGTTATTTTTTAAGTCCTATGCTTTTTATGCATGAAATACTGGCAGCGACAAATGATCAGTCAGTGACATGTATAGATTACATCTGCTCACTAAAGTCATACTGAGGGATAAAGCTCATCTCAAGCTTCAGAGAGCATCAGTGTTGGAAGAAATGTAGTATAGGTAAGGGAACATATTGCACGGATAGAAAGGTCAGAATTAATTTAGGGCTTATTTGTTGATATTCACTGTATTGAATTAAATTCAATTTTCTTGTTTATACAATTATATAGCCTCTTTTTATTTATGAAGTTTTTTTATCCTTATAAATGTAACATCAGAATTAGTGTTATAATAGAGGGAGAGTTATCACGTCATCATGACTTCATACACTGATTAAGTGAAATGTGACTTTTTTAAGTTTTAACACATTTGAATTTATGGTTACATTTTGATTTTGTAATGTAATAAATTTATATGCATTTATTCAGAAATACAGATTGATTAAACAAAAATCACCCCCCGATTTGTATTATAAAAATGTGTTACCTTCTTGTGATTTATCTTTGGACTGAAGGTTTACAATAAAAATAAACATTTTTAGCACTTAATAACTGTTTAATATCCGATTTTGCATTCTGTAGTGAAGTTTGATAACATATAACATCTTGTTTTACACTTACACATTTTTTTAAGATTGCATACTTGACATTTTTAAGACTAATATTAAATATACTAAATAGAATTATTAAATATTAATAATTTAAAATAAATATTGACAGGAGAAAGATAAATATTTAAAGCAATAAAAAATAATCTTTCAATAGTGTAATTGTATTTCTTCAACTGTACATGTAGGTTGTGCCACATGAGGGCAGCATTAGACAATTGTTACTCCAGTATAATTGTAATGATATTTTATGGAATATTTTACATTTTGTATATTTCTGGATTGCACGTCTGCTTTAAAAGTATACAGTTAGTAATCTGTGGCTTACTGCCTGGGCCTCATGTTTTTGCCTGTATTGGAATATGATGTAAAGCCATTAGACCTTGTTATTTGTTATCAGAATTGTGCAGTGATTAAAATGGTTTTGTGTGTTCTATTGTAAAGACTTGCCAAGTGTTGGGTTTCGTTTATTACATACATTTTTACAAAAATATGACCATATGCATGCTTAAAACGTTTTTCATACTTTAACCTACCATGTGAAGCAGTGCTCTCAAATCATGGAAGAAAATTGCTGCTTTATATATATTTTAGTGATGCATCCAGTTGTAATATGGTTTAATTTTCCTTTTTTTCCTTTTACAGGACTTAATTGACAGACTGATAATAATTAATTCAGAGGCTAAAATACACTCATTGTTCAACTTTGAGCAATCACACACATTTGGCCTCAGGTAAGATACTAATTCACTCTCAGAATGAGTGAGCTGGAAGTTTAAGATAATCGACTGATTATTTAAGGCACGACTGATCCACCTGCTATAATTTCACTCTGTTTTTAAATCCTTATAATGTTCGGTTTGTCTTGATTAGCTGTCTGTAGTAATTGTATTTAAATAATTGGTTGACAAGAAAATTGCATTCTTTGTAAATTCTGTTGAGTAATTTTAGTTGTTATTTAAGATATATGTTTGTTCTTTTAATAATCTAAGGGTTGATGTTATGCTGTGGTGCACGAACAGGAATAATTAAATAAGCGCTAATGCATTTTCTCCAAAGCCAACTGTAATAGATCCTAACCCTACCAGATCAGTCCCTATGTCTGCATTGACAAAAGCTCATGATGACAGTGAAAGTTTATGACTTTTCTGTACATAAATACCAACACAAAATCAGGTTAAAAAAAGCACCTAACAACACCAGCAGTTGCATGCCCTTTTTATACCAAACACAGACCTACTAACACCCGTGGTAGAATGTGCAATTCCTTTTCCATTTAAATTGACCACATAATTACCAACTTACCCTGTAGTGTGACGACTGACAAACAGTAGAGGCCATGTAGCAGCCTCTAGTGGCAGGTCGCTGCAATTACAACCTTTTCTGATTGCAGCCTTTTAATCATTATCATTGTCATTATACATTAAATCTGTTTATGAGATAATTTTAATTTTCTGTTAGTCAGCAGACAAAAAATGAAGCTCTAAAACAGGAATTGCATATCTAACATGCAGTGTAGTTGCTCAGTTTGAATAAAAATAGTGGCAAATTTTAAAAACTAAATACAGTAAATGTCAGAATATGTATTCATCTGGTGCATGTAGTTTTTTTTTTCCTAATTTACTCAATAGATGTTCAAATGGGACATGCTTACAAATTTGTAGTATGGTGCATTCTATCATTATTTTTCCTTTAATGGAATGGAATGTATTTTTTTAGGATATAGCAAACTTTAAATATAATGTGATCACCTTAAGGTATGACATCCACCACAATAAGTGAAAATATCACAAAATTTGGTGTCAGTGTTTCTGTCACAATGGCATGTTTGGTTCATAGACTGTATAGTAAGAAAATATGTTTATTGTCAGATAAAAATGCCCTGTGACATTTTAGTCTGTTTTGAATTTTGAAAAATACTGCTGTGCTGAAAAACCCTTTGCTTATGTCAACCAGTGAAGAATGGCTACATTCTTCATAAAATTATGTAGCTTTTATTAAAATGTTGTGGATGACATTATTTCATCATCTAGTAGAAATTATCAACTTTGCACATTTGACACACAGTAATGTAGAAAGGGTTTAACTAGGCTGCATTGAATTAATTTCATTATCTGATGATGAATAAATATCTCACAATACAAATGAGATATAACAAAAAAGTGCAGGGTTGGGGGATTTAAAATGTCAAAACAACAGCTACCAGTGATGGGAAATGTGCAGATGCCATATCACCCTGCAACTCACAACTGGCAACACACTGTAGCTCAGCAGGTGTGAGCCTGGTCAGTACTTGGATGAGAGACCTCCTGGGAAAAACTAAGGCTGCAGCTGGAAGAGGTGTCAGTGGGGCCAGCAGGGGGCGCTCACCCTGCGGGCCATGTGGGTCCTAATGCCCCAGTATAGTGACAGGGACACTATACTGTAAAAAAGCATCGTCCTTTGGATGAGATGTAAAACCAAGGTACTGCCTCTCTGTGGTCATTAAAAATCCCTGGGCGTTTCTTGAAAAGAATAGGGGTGTAACCCCGGCATCCTGGCCAAATTTCCCATTGGCCCTTACCAATTATTGCCTCCTAATAATCCCCATCTTGAATTGGCTTGATTACTCTGTTCTCCTCCCCACGCTGTGGTGAGCGTTCTGGCGCTCTATGGCTGCCTTCGCATCATCCAGGTGGGGCTGCACATTGGTGGTGGTGGAGGGGAGTCCCCATTAGTTAAGACTTTAGTGATCCCGAAGGGAAATTGAGGTGTTACCTGTAAAGCACTTTGAGTGGAGTGTCCAGAAAAGCACTATATAAGTGTAAACAATTATTATTATTATGGATGAAATCACTATGACCGTCACACAATGTGAGAACTGGATCTGTCGAAAAACACTTTTAATTTGCACTTATATTAAGTCAATGGTTATATCAAAATAGTTTTTTTAATTCTCTATACTTTCTAAATGGTGTTTCCATGTATTGAAGAGTCTTTGTATTAAAAGGGATCTGCTGTTTGTGGGTTTAATTGACTCATTTTCCAATTAAATATGGTGTTATCTACTTTGAAATAAGTAATGCACAGCTCCCATGGGCCAATAGAAAGTTTAGTGCATCACTCAGCAGAGGGAAAAGTTGCTGCTTGGATGGAATAAAAAAGCTCCTTGGAGATGTGAAGGTCATAACATTTTTCTGCACCACCAAAAACATTATTGTAGTATTTTTGTTTTCAGATATATCTCTTGTGTATCGATTGAATCTAGTGTGCTATTTGAGTTTCACATATTATTTTTTCATTAAAGCTCAAACGTATGGTGGAAAACGTTTTCAAATAACTAATCACAATCATCAGAAGCACTGCTTTGAAAATAAAATTCCAGCTGAGCCTTCTTCTCACTTCAAAAAAAGTACCTCTTTCTTAATAGTACATTAATGGGCTTTTCTTGCAGTTCATCTTGTTCAGTTTTATGGAAATAAACATCCATCCATTTTCTAACCGCTTTGTCCATTATAGGGTAAAGGGATTAGAAAGGGAGCCTATCCCAGCAGGTAACAGGATCCATCCCGTACGGGACACTGGTCAATCACAGGGTGCACACACACCTCAAGGCTAATTGTTCCCAGACCCCACACAAATACAGGGAGAACATAAACTCCACACAGCACTCCAGGGAAAGTATTGATAACAGACCCCAGCACTGCAAAGCAGCAATGCCAACCACTGTGCCATCTAGTTAAACTTTTTTTTAATTAAAAGTATCTATCAATGAAAACATATTGCAATTAAGAAACATGCGTAATCCCTTAATGAAATCCTTATCTGGCATAAGATGATAATTGCTATGTCTATAGAAATTTTACATAAGCATAAGTTAAAGCATTTTCATAATTAAAGATAATGATTCCACATATTGCTGCAATTTGTTTGTCAGCGTAAGAGCTTTTTATATTAAGATCAATATTTATAGAACTTGGAAGCTATTGTATTGGCAGGGTGTCAGATAACTATTAATGCTATTATTGTATCAGAACTGGAAAAAGAAAGTGCTTGTGTATTTAACAAGAAGTAGATCTATGTTGTTCCATTTATTTGCGTATTTTGTGTCTGTTAATTTCAGAACAATGGGAATTATAGTGAATAATTATTTGTTAATGTTTCAACAACGTGATGAATTAACTCAGTGTTATAATTAACAAACTTATTTTCTTGTCTGAAAAAGAGACTGTTTATGTTTGAATTAAATGCAAACTAACTACTACAGTCTTTAACACAGAATATAATAATTAGATCAAAGAGCTGATCTCTGGTACCTCAAGGGAGACTTTTGCCTTGTAATATGCAAAATGGACCAATTAAAAAGTCTTATTTTTAAGAGAAATGCTTACTGTTTACAAATCACTACAGCACAAAAGGGGTAATTGTGTCAGATATTTTGCTTTTCTAATTATTTGACCTTGTTTATCTCTATCTACTGAATCTAAAATACTAAAAAGAATGAACAAATGTAACAACTTAATTAAGACAATGCACCCTGGATGGGATACAAGTCCTTCACAGTTTCATGTGTATGCACCATTTGTAATTCAAAAAAATGGGACATCAATTGGATGGGGTGGATACTTTTGCAAGGTATTGCATATCCATCTTCCACCTTTACTTTAGTTTTTTCCTACAGTTGAACTGAGCTCTGTGCTTTTTACCCAGATTCTGTATGCTGATCTTTGTGGGCTTTTCTGTGCCATTTCTGTCTACTGTTTTTGATTGGGCAAAGCTGTCCCTTTGTGATGAAAGGGCCAGCTCATCTCATCCATTTTAAAGTTAATAGGAACTTTAGAATGTGGTAATATGTGTTATTTAATCTCCAGTATGTTTTTAAATGTCAATTTCATGACCGATTTATAAATCATTTAAAAATGTTATTCATATTTTTAAGTACTAGTTATAGTATAATAATTAAGAAAATCTAAAATTTAATCACTAAATTACTTGGACTGCAGAACTATTTTATGTACTCTTTATTCACATCATTTTAGAACTCTTGATCCATCTGAGGGGAGAAAAATATACTGTTGCTGAAGCTGAAAAATAAATAGTTTTGGAGAGGTCAGGTCAGACGATGCAGTTCTGTCTCCTGGTGTACAGTATTTGTACACATCTGTTGGAAAAAATTGGAACATCTCACCAGAATACGCTTGTCGGAAAGCCAGATGTATGTGCATCCAGATTTTTTTGCGCCACACTGTATTAAAGTGCTGCCTATGTGCTATATATTTAAAAGGATAGTTTCAGTAAAAGTATTCTTACAGTAATTATTATTTTGAGGAATGAACTGTTTTTAGCAGAGAGAAAGGATAATGTCTTTATCCTGATCTTTGATTCTGACTGCAGTATGATTTTGAATGATGTCCAATGTGAGTTGTTCAAAGTATAATTGCTTGAAATGTGTTTGCACATCTTTACTGTCATCTAGACTCTTTTAGGGGAAAGTTTAAGATCACTGACCATTTCCTGACATACTGTACATAAGTGAAACATTCTTTCTCTGAGGTAGTTTTTAGCTCAGCTCTCCTAATCTCTTCAGAAAGAAATTTACATTGCAAACACAATCAGTACATGAAAGAGCAGATCAGATAATGAGAATATTATTAAATTCCCTTAGTAGAAATGAAAATGCAAAACTGTTCAGCTGCAAATAACCCCATTTACATAATGTATTGTGTCATTGTCACATTTTCCAGATTGTGACAAAGCTGTAGAATATAGTGACAGAACTCTTTAAATTTGTCTTTAGTTAACTGTGCAGAGTATCCAAGAAGATAAATTCCAGCATGTGGGTGTCATCCACGACAGTCATATTTGGAAGACTTTGGCATCCAGTAATTGTGTGCACTTTGGGAAACATTTTGAAATGAAGTTCTGCCTACCACTAGATTCAATGTATGAGTATAGCAGTGAACAAGAAGTACTTATTGTGTATAGATCATATGACACTGTTTGCATATCATTAACAGCAGATGCTATACCCAAACCTCTGTCATAGGACTGTGCAACTAGCTTGTTGGATCAAATTTCCCCAATTAAAACAAAACCTAACATATACAGGCTGCCATTAACAATGTGAGGGCACTGTAGCATAGTGGGTACGATTTTGGACTCTACGCTGCTGTTGTACTTTGAGCAAAATACTACACCCCAGTTGCTCCAGTCCACACAGCCATAAAGTAGGGACCAGCATTGCTGGGATAGGCCCAGTGATGGACCGGTATCCTAGTTTAATGCCACAGAAACCGGGATAATCTTTGGCCAGATGAGCCAAAATGGCTCAGATATGGAATTTGCCTGCTGTTTACAATAGAAGATATTAGTTAGAATCCAGCATCTTTTATCCAGCCCTCTCCCACTGGATGCACATCTTTATAAGGGATAACACAAAGATGCTTCTACAGGTGAGCCTGCATTATACTCTGAACCTAAAAAGGAAACAACTTTGGTCCTTAATAAAAATGCATCAAGATCAAACAAGAGTGACAAACACTGCCTCACAGATTTTAAAATGAAATTCAAATACTTCCAAAAATATAAAACATATATATTCCTTCATTTGTAGTAGTTTCACAGTGCTAGTTTGGTGTAGTTTGGGGAAGTTGTACAGATGAAGTTGGGGTGTATATAGTTCTGAAAAAAGTAATAGTAATAGCAACAGCAGCTACTGCTAGTGTTAGTCACCCTAAATCCATTATTAATTACTTTATTAAGAAGTAGTTTGCTAATAGTGTTTGTCGTAATATTTTAGAAATGAAGCCAGAAAACGAATGGGCTCTAAAATACAGCTAAATGTTGAATTCTTTTGTCATGGCTTATTTTTATCAGCAACAGGGATCTTCCATGCTGCTCAGTTCCTAATGTTTAGGCTCAAACAGGAATCCAGTGGTAAAGACTGTATTCTCTCACTCAGTCTCTCTGTTCTTGGTTCTTCTCCTCTCCTCTTCACATTCTCATTCACTGTTCCCTAGTGTCTAGCATTTGCAAACCACAAGGTCACATGAGCTGTTGGTTATTTTCTGGGAATTTTCAGTCTGATGCACAGTTCAGCCAACTTGGCTCTACTCAAATTAGGCTGATATCTACGTATCTGGATACCACTGAAGCTGTGCAAACTCCTCAATATTCCCTTTTCTACCCTACCTGCAGTATTTCAACTGCACCGCTGCCTAGGCTGAGGAAGCTATGGGACACTAATTTATGTAGAAATGTACATGCAAAAATATCTTAAAGGCTTTCATGACATACCTTAATATTTGTTATCCAAAAAGAGCATTTAAAAAAAAAAACTGTGCATGTCATGTCCTTCTTTTGACCACACAAAATAAGTATGAACCAATGCATAAAAGTGTAGCAGCTGGGAACAGAACAGCACATTTGACTTGTAATAACAGTGAGAATGTGTTCGTTATCAACCATGTAGCCCAGCTGATTTTATAATTGTTTTAATTGCAGCATACTGAGGTGTAATTTAGCATAATAAAAAAAGTTCTGTGATACAAATGAAGCATGAATAGATGTCTTTTCTTTTATGTGAATATAGAAAAGGTTAAAATTATCTCCCTTCTGAATAATGAGGGCTGTTTGTCATATGGCGTGTCATTCTCATAGTCTAGTCAGAAGAACAACACATTATGCTCATTTTGCTTAAATTAAAACTGCATGGTTTCATCTCAAAACTACTATAAGCTCCATATGTATGAAAGTTAGATAGCTTTTTAAAATATTTTGTACAGTACGCCCTAGGTTTAATGGACTTATAGAAGTGAAGGGGTGTCTGTTATTGCCGAATATCTGTTAAATTCACAAATTACATTTTTTGCGCCAAAACACGGTATTATATGAGAACAAATATATATGTGCTTTCTCTGTCTTTTTCCTGAACAATTGCAATCAACACTCTTAAAATTGTTTATGTGCCTTTTTATCACAAATATACAGTACAAGCTCTTTATTTCATTCGTACATTCGTTTTGCAATTCATGTTTCATGTTTCTACATTCGTAGATATATTGCAAAACATGAATTGAAGCATATGAAACATAACGCCCACTGTAAGCAACTGAGCTACCCCTGTAGAATGCCATTGATATTCCTTAATTTTATACCTATGTAGTATTGTTTTATACATTTTTTTATTGATTGTGCATTTTACAGTTTTCTTACATATTGTTAGCTTTTTAGTGTATTTTTAAAATATTCCCTAAAGCATACGAAGCACAAGAATCCACTGTAAGCAATTCACTAATGTTTTTGCCGAGAAATTTTTTCTGATTTACAGACAAAGCTCCCCTTAAGTAGACTTTGCCCATTAAAGAAATGTCTGTGAAACCAAGGGCTTACAGTACTATACTTGAATCCTATATAGGAAATGAAACAGAAAAATAAGCTTTCAGCAACAGGTTTTTACTGTGATAACCATTTTCGCCTTTTCTTTCCCTCAGTTTTTTCTCCCAATTTGCATGAGGCGTGAATAGTGTTTTAATGTTGTGAAACAAAACCTTTAACTGATTAAAACAGATCTTAATTCTGTAACATGTATGCAAGATGAATGTCAGGGTATCTGTCCGTGAAGTGAAGCTCAACAGAAGGTGGGTCTTGTAGTAAGACGACAACCCTAAACACACAAGTCAGTCTACCAAAGGATGGTTGAAGCAGAAGCAATTTTGTGTTTTGGAATGGCTGAGTCAAAGTCCAGACCTTAATCCAAAAGAAATGTTGTGGCAGGACCTGAAGTGGGGAGTTCACGCAAGAAAGCCCCCCAACATCACTGAGCTGAAGCAGTTCTGTAAGGAGGAATGGGCCATAAACAGTTACCGTAAACGTTTGAAGTCATTGCTGCTCAAGGGGGTCATACCAGTTACTGAAAGCACAGGTTCACATACTTTTTCCAGCAAAGACATTTAATCCTGGATCATTTTGATCAATAAATGAATGAAAAAGTATATCCTTTTGTATGTTATTTGTTTTATTGGGTTCTCTTTATCTATTTGTGTGACTTAGATGAAGATCTGATCACATTGTAGGTCAAATTTATGTAGAAATTCAGAAAATTCACAAACCTTCTAGCACCACTGTCGTTTATTGTGAGATTCTTAAACTTTAGTTTATATTTCACTTTTGTGAACTAATGTAATGGATATAAAGGTTGATTTTCTATTTTATTTGTTAAATGGTTTTATTTTGACGTAGATCCTGTGTCTGTGTTTCAGAATTCTGAATGTGGTGTGCTGTAATCTGGATTCACTGTTACTCTTGGAATCACAGTACAGAATCTCTGAAATACTGCTTCAGAGCCAAAAGGACAATGTGAGTGAATCTTCTGGAAGTGAAGGGTAGGTAAAGCTGCAGAGGTAAAGTCTTACAGAATTTAAAGATGTATATGATGTAAAGCTTTTGAATACCGTGTTGATTTTAGATCTCCAGATAAATGTTATCTGTCTCTAACTTTATGGAAAGGACAACTCAGTACGGCTTTTCTTAGAGAAGATAATTGGGTTAATGTTTTCCAGCAGGTAACAAATATGGGGTTAACCATATTTTAATGCTGTCAATTACTTCTCTGTCAATACATTTTTTTTTCCAGAAGTATTTTCAAAAGTGAGAGCCATAGGAAAAAAATGAATTCACTGTCCTTTTCAGTTTTCAATATTTTGAAACAAAAAACCAAACAGTTAAACAGGCCATTTGTCTTTTTGGTTGAGTCACAAGTTTGAGGGTTAGGAATAGCAAAAGCTACAATATATTGTCAGTCTCCAGTATATACACTACGAGCATTGATTTATCAAAATGATGACAGAACCTCTACTTGTGGTGGAATATGGGGATTTCCGTTCATCGATAGGCTTCGCTTAAGGCAGCCAGATCTACCTTCTGGTGTGGTCTTACTGAGAGGGGTCACAGTGAACCTTCAGTCCTGTTATCCTCTATGAATAAAATGCCTAAAACAGCTAATAAGTCTGCCTTTTCTTCATTTACTGAACAAGGTAACACATTCATGCTATTGTTTCACCACAAAATACATACTATTAATAATCCAGTTACTGACCTCTCCTCCTGACCTCCTGCAGTTGTGACTCCCCTCCCCTGCTTTGTAAGTTTGATTTCCTGTTGTCATGTGTAAGTGACAATGGCTGAAATGGGATCTGCTGCTGAAGTCCTAGACCCCCCTTCCTAAACCTAAACCTCTGACGTGTTATTACAAAAGCATCCGTGATGTTAAGATGGGGTGGCAGATGTGTGTGGATGTGCAAGGCAACTATTTTGAAAATGGTGTACATTTTACACAACATGCAGTATTTTAACAGATTAAAGTGACTCAGAGCTTCTATGGTTTCCAAGAGTAAAGATTCGTAGATCACATTACACATTTTATCTTTACAGTCTACAGTGACTAGTGAAAAGGAAGGGCTGCTTCACATCACAGTTTGTGCAAACTCACTTTAATCTATGGTGAGACCAGGAATTTATGACAACAATGGAGACCATACAGTACTTTCATAACATTCATGATTTTGTGCTTAATTCAGAATTGGTAAAATTTTGAGATGCAGTCAGTTCATTTATTTTAGTACCAAGATTTAATAACTGGTCTGAGAAATTTAAAAATGTTAATTTTGCATTTATGCTCTCACTAACAAAAGTATTACAAGCCTCACCAGATAACGTGTTTGGCCCCTGTGAGTAGCACAACAGCATATATTGCTGTATTCAGTTAGGTTCTGGAATATTTGTAGCATAATCCTATCCCACTCTTCAGCTGATTGCACTGGGGTTGCACTGAATGTACCTTACTTAGTAGGACTGAGCTGTGGCTTGCTTATAATGTGGCCTGTTAGTGTACTGTATATCCTACAGTATGTTGTAAATAAAAAACCTTTAATTTTATTGTGTAAATATGGCTTGGTTTCTGTCATACCTATAAAGCTCTTCCCTTTTTGTTAAATATTTTTCAAAAATCCTCCTGCTGTTCATGTGGTAGCTGCTGTAGTTTACTTTACCAGATTGCAATCCACTTTGTCTGTGCTTCACTTAAGTTCACAAAAGGGCTTTTACGGTATATCATAAAATTCCATCTGCCTTTAGCTTGAATTCTGGAAGATGAAATGGGATTGCTAATGTGAAGAGGGTGGGAGAGGGAGCTCTGAACACGTGGGAGGAGCAGTATGTGTTCAGAAAGACAACTTTAATTTCATCCACAGCTCAAAAAACAAAGTAAACTGAAATTCTTATACAGAGAATCCTGATCCTGCTACGTTTGTGCCTGCATTACATAGGTGCTATGTTAATATACATATTTATATTTAACCTGATTGTACATTACCTCATGCATTATTATCTGTAGTAAAATGTGCAGGATCGTTACGTAGGCAAGAAAAGAACATGAATATCAAAAATTGAAAATGTCTGAGGCAAAATATTAATAATATACTAACTCATCTTGATTAAAGATGTAAACATACTGTACAGTAGTATAGATGATATTAGGAATAATAAGATTTTCCTGCAGGCAATTCATCATTGACGGATTGTCCATAGAAAGGAATCATATTCTTGTACGGATTAACTTGATTGGTGGGCCATCGGAGCGTTTTTTGCCACCTAGAGTTCTACAGAAGGTAAGCTTTACTGTTCGAAATGCACGGCTGTACGTTTGAGCTCACACAAGTTGTATGGGGAGATTGTACTGTAGTAACATCACTCAGAGTTAGGAATTGTGATTTTTTTTTCAGTACCTCTGAATATGGTACTGTATGTATGTATATTTACATATTATTTTTCTTAACAATAGATATTAATGTGTGCTTTTAAATTTGAGGAGCATGGGCAAAGAACCTCAGAGCAATGTCAAAAATCAGTAATGCAGGAGCAGTGTAATACACTGAGAAAGATATGTCATCTCACCCGTGTTGCCATGTACACGTTGCCTTCTCTTTTCAGGGCCCTGACCCATATCCTTGGCCCATGTTTTCAACATACCCACTACCAAACTGTTACCTTCACGATGTTCCGAAGATAGTTCCTTGTAAACAAGGTATGGAGAAAATGGATTTCTGCACTTTTCCTTCATCACCGCTGCAGCACTGTTGCTTCATGACTCTTGTGTCCAGGGTTCGATTCTGGCCTGGGTTAGCGTTTGTTTAGAACTTATGTCCTCCCCATGTCCTTGTAGGTTTTTTGTGGTTGCTCCAGGTTTTTTTTCCCACTTTTCAAAGATATGTCTGTCCAGGTTGTAGTTCCTCTGTCTGTCCTGTGTTTCCAGGCTAAACTCTGGGTTAACCAGAACTATGCATCTTGCTGATGTCAGGTGGATGATTTTGATTTACAGTAATATGTTAAGGCACTGTGTGATTAAACCTCATACAGTAACGTTGAAAAAATATTTGTTACATTCATCAAGGGGGGAGATGTAAATTTTATTGAAAAATAAAATTTTTCTTTTGCCAACTCCAACTTGGAATTGAGTCCAGGACCAAGGAGCTCAAAGCTATCAGTGGTAGCCTAAAATATATTACTTCAAGTTGAATGTGACCAGATAATGTTATACTGTAGGTGAGGAAGCAAACAACAATATATAATAGATTCTGCACAGGATTAAAGAAGGCCTGTCACTTATTACATGATGTTATAAAAATAATACAGGACATGTAATTTTAGTCACTTTTTTATTTGTAGAATACCTTTCCATTTACAAAGTTTTGATTCTGTCAAGAGTTACTGGTTTCAATGTTAACTAGTAAAGGAGGCACCTCTCTGTGGTTTGTGGTTTGAGACCCATTACTAACAGTTCCACCTCACTGATATACAGTTGTATGGAAAGTTCCTGTAAATTCACATTTCTACTTTCTACATGTTCTAAGCATGCACAGACTATAGAGATAACAGGTACATCCAAGAGACATCTTTAGTTCTAAATGTGTGGTCAGTGAATGTGTGGAATAAGGATCTTGGATGTTGAATAATACTCTTTAGAGGAAGTATTTGAGGTTGGATCTTAAATGTTTTGATCAAGAGATCTCAGGGTGAGGGTAAGTGGTCTTTTCAAAGCAGCTCTGTTGTTCCACCTGGTCTCCCCAGAGCTGTGTGCTGTCCCCCATCCTCCACATCCTGTATACAGACAGACACATAATTGAGGGCAGACACATAATTACGTTTAAGTTTAGACAACCCAGATTTATGTGCAATAGAACAAAGTTTTCCTTTATTCCCATGACTATGCTGACCTGCTTAATTTCGACAAATGATTGTATACTTTATTTATGTTTTTTTTTCTTTCTTGTCATAGACATATGCTTCTTATTTGTAAATAGGTTCATGGGTTCAGGTTGTGTTGTGTATTGTGTTATGTCTCTAACCTGCCTGCAAAGCAAGTTTCCCATCTGTGACAATAAAAGGAAGCTCAAAGTAAGAGATTAAAAAACTCAGTCTTAAAATAACCATGATTAACATATATCGAGTAGGTTTTAACCGAAGGTTTAACTTCGATGCAAACATGATCCTAGTATGATTTCAGACGTGTACTCATACAGGTATGTGCAGCCAAATCAATGAAAATAGTTTTATGATACGCAATATAATAAGCTACTGCTGAATCCAGGAGAACAATGACTGAAGGGGATGAACATGTTTGAATGTGTTAATGTGTTATATTTTGGGGGCTGGTGATTACTTTTTGGGGTATTTTAGAAAAGGAACATTAGTTGTGGAAGCTCTAGACTCAAATGTCGACATTTTGATGAATTCCTTCCATCACCCAGAGATGTTTTGGCTGGGTTGTGATCACTGCGTGGAGCGAGTTCAGTTCCAGCTAAACTGGTGTGCTCAGTAAGGGGTGTGAAAAGCTTTTTAACTTTAAAATTGTAGACTGTTGCACTTAAAGTAGCTTCACAACCCAGACAGCCCAGGAGGACTGTTAATGAGAACTACTGCATGTTCTCTGTGCAAAATAAAACAACGTTCTGAATTGATTAGAAAAATAATAGGCTTTTTAAAATTGTAAGGTACAAACGGTGCATGAAGTAACTGATGCATATGAACCATGCAGTTAGGATGAAAAAATGTTGCTTTTGTCACAAATTGTCGTTCAGTCCATGTTTTCATAGCAGTGTAAAAGTGTAACATGAGGTGGGAAGAACCATGCTGTGCAATTTGTGTTTCAGAAACTGAGATCAGTAAATTCCTGGCGTTTTCAAAGAATCCAGAAAAACAAGCAAACTGGATGGAAACCTGCAGGAAACAGTTCTGTAAGGCGATGGCCACCAAGCCAGATATCATCAAAGGGAATGGTAAAATCTTTTTCAGTACAATAAAGAAATTATGTTCGAGTTAATATTTTTCTGTTATTAATTTACTTTTTGATGGTTCTGTTGTGATGTAACTCTGGTGAGACTGTCAAACCCCTTCCTACTCCAGGGCTGGATACCCAGCTACCCCTAACCCTAGGCCATAACCATGTGTGAGAATCTGTCTCATGTTAAGGTTTTTCATCTCCTCTGAGACTAGTTGCTGTCGTATCCCATCTTTGGGGAAAGTCTCTTACCACTGTGTTAGTCTATCGAGACTCCATTTCCAGCAAGGTAAGATTCTTTAGCAACCCATCTTGCCGCACCTGTGTCTTTGATTCCTAATTACTTTAACCTCCCCCAGGGTTAATTAGGTGTTTCTCTGGTCCCTTCCAGACACCGCTCTGCCGCCTGCTGAAACACCAGGGCTTAGCTTGTTAGTAACTAAATCAAAAGTGTTCCCTTTCCAACCACCCCACAAATATCGAAAGACTAACTTCAGCAGCCCTTGCCCTTTGATTGCCCTTTGATGCTGATGTTGATGCAGTTTGCAGCAGAATTACGACTGAGGGGACATACTCTCTCCCTCAGTCTACCCAAGAGCTAACCTTTCTGTCCCTCAGGAGTTTGTACCATATGATCTTCCCCTAGCAGGGTGTGGTATTAAATACCTTGACCTTAAACTCCCTCCATCCCCAGATTTGTAAATGACTGATTTTTAATGATATGACCAAACCTAGTTCTTTGTCCCTGTAGGGGTCATTAAGTCCCCTTAATTTATAAGTCCCCTTAAAGGGATTTATAACCCGATGATTGTTACCGCTCCTCTTGTGGGGGATCCGGATGGAATTTGTCACCAGCTGCTATTAACTAAGGGTCAAGGTCTAGTCTGCCACAACCGTAACCTTACTGGCAGACCTGACAGAGCAACACCACCCCAGTCTTGTGTTAAGTGACTGGCTCAATGGCACTGGGACTCCAGTGTCTTGAACCCTGTGAGACATGAGCTCCCAAGATGATTGAGTTCAGCTGGAGGGAGCCCACCCCCCGCTCCACCCACAGTTGACCACCTGTCAGCTCTGAGTAGACAACCCTGCGAGTAGCCTGTCTTTAAACTCGTCTGTTCTTTTCAAAGAGACGTGAGGAGATTTTGATATATCCTAGCCAGAGTGTTGGCTGCTAGTGTTTCCTTTCTTTTTGGTTCTTGTCTTTTCTTTTCCCTTTTTTCTTCACTCACTGTTTCTCCATCCTTTTCAATCTGTGCTGTCTCTACATATGAATACTTTTAATTTTCCTTCCATATAACTCATAGTTTAGAAAGTATCACAAAATGATGCAAGAAATAAAGATTATAATTATTTTATTCTCTTATTCAATACATATAGGATCCATAAGCACTTTCTTCCTCATTTTGATATCCTGTTTGCAGGAGGAGGTTGTTTGTCTTTAAAGCTCTCACACAGTCCTGACTAGAATCATCAGTTTCACATCACTCACTAATGCACAGTAACGGAGTATAACTGCTTCCTATTAAGATCTATAGTATGTGGTCTATTCCTTGGGGTGGTGACAGTGTTTGAGTGTTTTTTGGATTGAGTGTATCTTGAATCAGTGATTTAATGTGGTTTCTACTTTAAAATAATGGTATAAGACTGACGTTGTTCTGTTTTTCACTAGCGTACCTTTCTCATGTAACATAATTTTTAATAATAATTGGGTCTGTTAGAATAAAAATAAATTGAAGAATACAGTATTAATACATTTTCATTCTGCATTGTTTTCCTATATCTTTGTACGATGTAATAAAAAAAGTTCAGTTTTTATGAATAGGAAGTAAAAATTAAATTAAAAATTAAAAGTAAAAACAGAATTAAGGTTTACAGGTGACAGTTTTTCAATACATCTGTTACTGTAGGATTTAATTTACCAGCTGGAATCTTAATGGTAGTTCAATATTTCTCACCTGTATGATCTATGCTTTCATGTTTTTCATATCAATTTGTGATCTATATGTTTCCTTATTTTTTATGTGTGGCAAAGCTTTTTATTCTTGCATACGTAGTATTTTAGAATTCACAATGCATGCTCTGTTCTTACAGTGTTTCTAAAACCATGTGTGGTTGTCCAGTATTGGTGTGGTAGAGTTAGTGCATTCACCGCACATACTAGCGGGGACAAACAGATGCCTTTTGACTGTACTTGAAAAGTTATGGTTATTCTGTATTTTCTGAGATTTCATAAGCCACTGGGGACTGGCATTTAGCACTGTATTGAGTGCTACTCCTGGTTATTCACATACCAGGCTTTGTCATGTACCTTTTTTGTTTCCAAACTCCACGTTTGGAAATAACACTTTGTCCACATTAGTCGTGCATATCAGTCGCTAAGTGAAAATGGAAAAATCTGTGTGATTTTTTTCACCCTGTGTGGTTTAGCATTCTCCTGCAGTAATAATGGAAATGTATTGCCTCTTATTAAATGACATAACTCAGCCCCAGCTGGTGATGTATGAACATTTAAGCTTAACTCGTGCTAAACATAAATGTTAATCAGTATGTATTGCTATATGGTCCGTTACCAAAAAAAAAAGTAGAATTGCCTTTGATATATGATGCAGTGTCTAATAATGTTAAACCTGTTATGTCCTCTTTAATGGTTACTGTCTCATTTTAGTTAATTGTATTTGTAAATTTAATGCATGCAAGCCATTGGTATTCAGAATACTTAAACACCTTTACTTAATATAATTATTCATGAAATGTGTAATTTCTTAAGAGTGTTGCAGTTATTTGAAGATTTATGTCCTGTAAAATGATCACACAATTTAATCTTTAATCTCTTGTTTCCAGAGACTTATTTCCATGTAAGAATGTAGTATACAACGTATTAAAGGAGGAGCCACAGATCTTTTTTTTACTTGGCCATGTTATTGAAGTTGATACCCTGGCTTCTTGCAAGAAATGGCTGGATGAGACCCTCCGATCATTTAGGAACTACAGTAGCAACCAGGGGCCACATGGCTTCCTCTCATTTATAACCCATCTTATGTATTTAAGATATTTTAATAAATCTTTAGATTGATTTTGTTGGGATTGGTAGAATTGATTCTGGAGGTCCTAATTTGTTTTGTATTTTGGGTTTTGGGAATTGAAAGATTCCCATTTTTCTAATGGAAAAACGAAAGACACTTTAACAAGGCGACCATTATTGTCTGCCTCTTGTATTTCCTTGTCCTGTCCTGACACACATTCTTTTTTTTTTGCTACTGGTGGAAGATTTTCCACAGCTACAGTAGCAGAGGGATACATTATGTATAGTAGATTTAAGGGCCTAAAATAAAATTAACAGTTAAAAATGTTTTTCTCATTTAGCTAGCATTTTAAGTTTAGTAAACTTTTCAGTTATGTTCAGCCCAAAACAAGTAAATAATGCAATGCTTAAAAATTATGTGGCTTATGCTTCCAATAACCCTACACAGATCTTATGTGATGTTGACTACATCTTTGCACTTATTCAATAGAATTACTTGACAGGATGTTTCCTTTAAATCCCAATAGTTTAGATAATGAGGGGCTTGTTAAATTCATTGATTGACTCGTCTCTATGAGAAATGTTTATGTCAAGAGTGAATCATATAATTTAACATAATGCTTGATTTAAGCTTTTTACATCAGTCATCAAGATTCATTGTCTTTCCTTTAAAACAGATAAATTGTAGACGAGCTTGGGATGTAGGAAATGAATTGCTATTCCTGATATGATCTTTCAAGGGCATACCATTGTTTTTCTTGTAAGGATAACGGAAAAGTAAATGGAAATAGAGCTATTTGATTATGGTTATTGAAATGCAAAACACACTTCTATTATACCTGCCTTTTTTCTTTCACTGGGTATGAATTGGCAAAGAATAATGTTGATTACCACTGCATTTTCTGTACTTAAGGGAGGATTTATCACTGTACCTTTAGCTGAAATAGCTTTTTAAATGTATTTTGTGATGTTCAAAAAACTCTTGTTTCTTCTGTGCAGTTCTGGCTGATTTACTTGAAAAAACTACCATACATCTTTCATCCAGTCCTTCAGAGTGCTTCTTCCTTTCTCAAGATTACAAAGGTTAGTACAAGACAGTATACAGTATAGTTTTTGCTTTAAATTATATAAATAAACAGTACATACTTAGGCTATCATATTTGTGTATCATGATGTGAAGATGCTGGTGTAATGTACCTTAAAAAAAGTTGCAATTACAGAAAGCAGTTTTAGATGAAAGGCCTATGTGGGTAGGTAACACCTCAGTTTTCCTTCGGGATCAGTAAAGTCTTATCTAATGGGCACTCCCCTCCACCACCACCAATGTGCAGCCCCACCTGGATGAAGCGACTTCAGCCATAGTGCGCCAGAACGGTCCCCACACACCAGCTCTTAGTGGGGAGGAGAGCAGAGAGTAATGAAGCCAATTCATAGATGGGGATTATTAGGAGGCCATGACTGATAAGGGCCAATGGGAAATTTGGCCAGGACGCTGGGGTTACACCCCTATTCTTTTCGAGAAACACCCTCGGATTTTTAATGACCACAGACAGTCAAGATCTTGGTTTTACGTCTCATTTGAAGGATGGCGCCTTTTTACAGTATAGTGTCCCTGTCGCTATACTGGGGCATTAGGACCCACATGGATTGCAGGGTGAGCGCCCCCTGCTGACTCCACTAACACCTCTTCTGAGCTTCAGTGGGCTGCCAGTTGTGAGTTGCAGGGTGATATGGCTGCTGGCTATATGAAGCACGCCAATCGCTGTCCCAACCTAATCGCTGCAGACAAGATGCTAAAGTTCACAACAGTAATAAAATGCTTAGTATTAAATAGTCTAAACAGTAAACTAAATTTCTTTTATTCAGATGGAGAGTTATCACATATCACAATTTATTACCCATTTAGCTACAGACCCTTCTAGGGTGTATGGTCGGCATTAAATTAGATCATTTAAACGATTCTGAAAGACTGCATAAAATGACAGTATAAATCAAATGTTAATTTTTGCCTTAAATGTGTGATTTCATATTGGTGCTTCGGTTGTCCATTATTATTTTAACTTTTATTGTCACTTGTCCCTTATTATTTTAACAGCATCAATTGCTTCTAAAAAGACTTTGAATGAAAGGCATTGTCACTGCAATTCTGTTCCAATAGGCTAAAAGGCACAGTGCCTTCATGTGCAAGATTTTAGAAATTCAGTGGTTTTTGATATTTTATATTTTATATTGATATTTGGGATGGAGAAGAAGATAATGCAGATCACAGAATTCAGTAAAACACATATAATAAAACATTAAACAGGTAAAAACTATTTGCATAGTGTGAAAATAGTATGGATGTAATAAAGAATTCTGTAAAAGAATTCTGTGCGAATGTTTCTTTGTGCAGTGAAACAAATGGAGCACATCTGATTTAATGTAAAAAAAAACAGTCACCTTGAAAATTTCAATAATCTGACCAAATCTCACTTCTCTAAAACATATTTGTTCTAGAAAATCATCCTGTTGTATCTGTCTCAAGTGGGATTTTAATTTATTGTAGGTAAAAGGTTTAATAGCTCTGGAAAACAAATGCTCAGAGTGCTTTTCATGCATAGCAGTGATCTTAAGATGGAAACCTGTCCTGGTAGAATCATTTCATTAATCACCATTTTGAGTTCGGTAACCTACAAAGTGAGTGAGTCCGTTTCAGAAGCACTCATGTGTGCCCAGATAAGGACTTCATAGATGTTCTTTGGATTATTTGCACTGCCTTTCTTCCCCTATATGTCAACGTTTTTCAAGCTACATTTTACCTGGCTTCTTTAATCATTTCCTTATCCTTAGCTCTTTATTTCCCTCTATTGCACCTCAATTGCTATTTTTGATCAAAAGATGCTTGCAGCAGGCCCGTTCTCTTGTCATCGTATCACTTAGAACTGAAACAAATTCACAACAGTGTTATCAAGAATAAAGCGTTTTTTATGTAAATGTTGTACTGACATTATATTGAAAAGACATGACATAAATTCATTATGCTCATTAACATTTGTCATCAACAGGTGGTCTATTATGAAAGTCACAGTCTAGTAACATCATTGGAGAATTTGCAAATGTACATTTGCAAAACACATTGCAAATGCTTTCTTGTGATTTTGTTTATAAATATATATATATTTTACCTTAGAAATATTTCAATATTCAATTTTTATCAGTGTCCAATGCTGAGAGACTGATCCATGCATTTATAACATCAAGGCTTGATTTCTCCAACTCTTTACTCTATGGGCTCCCTAACTCTTTACGACAAGTTGCAATATGTCCAAAACTCTGCAGATGGACTACTTACTTACACTAGACCCTGGCAGCATATCACTCCTATTCTTATGTCTCTACATTGGTTGCCTGTAAAGTCACGTATTCAATACAAGATCTTGCTGCTAATTTTCAAGGCTCTAAACGATCTGGCTCTATCATACTGTACAGTACATCTCTGAAGTCCTCCATGTTAACACTGTTTCCTTTTTACCAAGGTGTATGTCTGATTGCCTGCAGTCAGTTTTTTTATGAACCTGCATACAGTACTTTTGATTTTTTGTTCATTTACTCTTAACGTGCTTTTCTTGTATTTGTCTTTATTCAAGACGTTCAGTGTCCTTGAGTTTGGAAAGGTGCTTTATAAATAAAAGTTGTCGTTGTTGTTGTTATTATTATTATTATTACGAGGTTCTCATATATCGTGGACAAGAATGCAACCGTTCACTGGCCTGATCCTGGTTTAGGAACAGGGCTTCCAAGGCACAAGTAAATCACATCCTGCTCTCATGAGAGCAGCATGAGGACACGTGCTGTGTGACTGGAATGCTGTCAATCCAGGATGAGCCCCATGAAGGGCAGAAAGTGCTGATCCAGTATCTCTGTAGCGCCTTCTACTTCGCTTACA